GTGTCCACAGTTTGTAACCTACCTCCTTTTCCTTCATCAACAACAAATCGCCATCCATTGCTTACAGACGAGTTCCACGAACCACATGAAGTATACATGTGCATCTTCATTGTTAGATAGCGTGGAAGTGGAAGAACTAGAAGATTAGAAGAGGTTTTTTCACGGTGAGAAGAAGAAGAAGACCCACGTTCAAGGCAAAGTATATTAAAAAAGGAAATAAAAATATTTAGAGAATATTTACTTTCAGATTTTGCTAGATTTTCGGATGGTGGCTCATAAACCGTTGGTAGAAGATACATTCTACCAAAATTTCCATTAGTTTAACCAGTGGAAACGTAATCCCACGAGCGTAGACAAACCATTAAAACTAAGAAGATATGTTCTNGTTTAACCAGTGGAAACGTAATCCCACGAGCGTAGACAAACCATTAAAACTAAGAAGATATGTTCTGCCAAGGTAGACGGATGGGTCTTTAGTATATGCTATGTTCTACTAAAACTGCATAACAAAGAAGGAATGTCAGTTATCATATTCTTCGTTCGTAGATGTATATGTTTTTGGTGTATTACGCATTCTAAGCCCTATAGATGGACGAGTTGTTGGTAGATTGTACATTCTGAACCGCCGTAGATGGTAGATCTGTTTTACTACTCGATTTATCCAATTTTTGAGATTACTATTCCAAACATTTTTTGAATGCAAAAATATTTTTCATATATTCACATGCTACTCTATTTCATATTGTATATTTTTCCTCAATTTTTTACCTTGTAAATTTTTTACTATGAATTTTTATATACAAAAAGGTAGTGAAGATCCAAAAGTGCCAAAATTTGATTTTATTCTAAGGGGACAATAGTTGTGTTTTTTGGTACCCTTTTGGCAAATTTCCCTTTTTTTTTGGAGGGGGGGGGGCAACAAATTTAGAGTTAATTAAGCGCTCATTAACTTCTTTTTTTTTTTTTTTTTGGTTCTCTCTAAATGATTTAGCAATTAATGTTGTATATATAAGTAGGCCTAACCATATGATGTTTAATTAGTATTTCGAATGATAATGATGTTTTTAAGGAAGGAGAATTGTGTGGTTCAGATTCCACAACACACACAGCTCACTAATTCAATTAAACCGACACTACTACTATCTTAGTTGGCATATATACACTTTGTTGAAGTAAGAATCTCAAAGTTTGAAGGAAGACTGTTCACTTTAATGTAGGATGATTTAATGATTTAAATGGATCTCTCTATCAACTAGACGGTGTAGAGAAAGACTGTTCACTTTGTCATCACTCCATATGTGACATCTCCTAAGGTGTAGTACGTAGCCTTTTGTAGTCCATGGACCATGTGTCATCTTAAATATTTTAACTTGACTACTACCTCTATCAAACTCTAATACACTTGACTCAACTTTCCCAGACTCTTGCCGCATAAGTGCCTACATTCTTTAGTTTCAAGTCTGTGAGGTATTAGGCACTGTGATGGACAGATAGTTCAAGTCTACTACACTTGCTTCCCTGGGATATTTTGTAGGAAGGACTCTCCAAGAAGAGCTCACTCATTGTTTCGTTGTGTACCCAATTGCGCAAAAAAAAAGGGTCCAAATAGTCGTGCAGTGTCAAGTCATAGACTAGTGTGGGGTCTCATGCTTGGTTTGGTCTGAGTCTGAGATGTCCTTGATCCCTAGTCGAATGAGTTTGCCTTCACGTAGGACAGTTGAACATTGGTTTTACTCTGTTGTCTCGTGTTCTTGCTACCATGTGCCAGCAATAGTGAGAGTGTGCATCTTGATTGAAAAAAACTAATAGGCAATCAGGTTAAGTTAAGTATATACTAGTGGTCTTGATAACAAGTCTAATTGCACCTGAACCCATGAAGGGTGCATTGTCTTCAGAGGAACATATTCCAAGCCATTAAGACTTTTGTCTCTTGTGTAGTGCGGATATGATGTTAACCCCCAGGAGCAGTTACGTCATATGTTAAATCAAAAACATACTACATCCTATGCTTTTGACCACAAGGAACTTGAAGGAGGGAGTAGAGAAAGTGAAATTGCATTTACAAAGTTTCTGAGATGATTGTGTCTTCACCATATCTTGCTTTTTTTTACCACAAGGAACTTGAAGGGACCACACGTTTTCACACCACCCTTTCTCCATTTGCATATAGTCCCAAGAGTGTGTGGTGTGCAACTTCTTTCTCTTGTCTGGATATAGATCAGTTTGATGGATAGATACATCACCAAGCCCTCTTTATACAAACACAACTTTTTCTACATTTTCGTTTTGTGGTAGTTAAAACCTTGCTTTCATCAAATAACCAATTCAGGTTAAGAAACAATCAAAATGGCCAATGAGACCACTAGACGTAAAGTCTGAAACTGTGGACGTCAGGACTTTGCTTTCATGAGATGTGAAAATAAAAGTAAGGTAGTGATGGTTTTAACTATAAGTGGAAACTTAAGGAGAGAGATGTTTTACCATATAGTCAAATAGCACATGAAAAACTCTGTACCTCTCTTTAAAGTATTTGGCATTAATGTCCGTTGGTTTTCTTCATCTTTATAAGCTAAACAACCCCCTTTGCTTGTTTCAAGAGCTCTTCTTTTCTCAGAAAGCAAACACACTTTTAAGTTTCTCTCCACAGCTATGCCACCAAGGGTACAGGATCATTTCTTTTTCCTTCTCTTTTTCCTATTTGATCACATCATATGTATATATTTGCAGCACTTGATTTTTAAGATGAGTTTTGGTCCTGTGATCAGCAAACCATTGTGTTGAATGTGCGTATGAGGTGTGAAAAATGCAGGACCAAAGCATTGAAGATTGTAGCAACAACATTGGGTAAATTTAAAAAATCAAACAACACACATAGAAAAACCAAATAAACACACTCCTAATGAGAAAACAACATATGTTTTCAGGAGTTTTGTCCGTACGGTTGGAGGCAGAACAAAGGAGGCTGATGGTGGAAGGAGTTGGTGTGGAGATAGATGTGCTTGTCAAAACTCTGAAGAAGAAAGTAGGTTACACTGAGATCGTCCATGTTTCTGAATTATAAGCCCTTTTTACACCACCACTACTCTTTATCTAAATTTAAGTGCTTTTTCTGGTTTCATGATGATCTGTTCTTGGAGCAACATTTTACATGATTTTCTGTTGCATTGGTATTTTCCAGTTTCTAGTTTATGGACATTTCACTTGTCTGAAAATCACTAGATTTCAGTTTGCTATCTGTTGTTGAATGAAACTCTGTTGTGAGATGAAAGTAGCAGGAATTACAGATCTATAAACATTCCTTAGAAATGGTTAAACCTTGCTTAGATGCATAACCATGCTCAAAAATGATATTTACTACTACTACGGTTAACCAGCTCAGATCCAGATTCATCAATGCAGTTTATTCATTATATCTAGAAGTTAACTCCCTTAAGAAGATCTTTTGAGCTTTGGTAACTTTGTCAATGCCTCTGCTAAAAGCTCAGTGATCTTTCCTTCCTCCCCTGAATAAATCCACAACACAAGAAACCACAAACAAACAAGCAAACTCAGACTGTGTTTTGATAGAAATTAGGATGAAAAATGAAAAAAAAAACATATACATAAGAGCTTAAACGACCCTCATATCCTAATGGCACGCACTAAATGCATATCTTCATCGATGGAACAAAGGCAAAAACTTCATCAATGTTTTCTGGGCAGACATTAGCAATGACACAGATCTGCACATAACAAAAAAAATATAAGAGAGTGCTCAGGGTTTGTTGTCTGAATTGAAGCTCTTTAGTAGAGATTTCAGAGACACCATGCTTTTTCAGGGGTCTGATATCATACTCGTAAAGTTATACCACAAAAGAACCGAATCAAATAGGAAATATGCATTAATCTGCATCCAAGAAGATTAATGAAGACAGCCAAAAAGGATACTCAAGGATCTGTCTGACACGTTGAGGATTAGTGTAGCAATTACCATATTTCAGATATCCCAGTCCTCTGTCCAAAGACCTAGAAACAAGCTACACGTTAGTGAATCCAAGACCTTTCCCGCGTGGAAATAGAACAACACAATGTCGTGAATGTTACTTACACAGGAGTCTTTATGGTAGGATCTTCAGATAACACATAAAGTTGTTCTTTGATGCCTTCTAGAATCTCAAAAGCTTCACAATCCATCATGCATTTTGCATTCTCTGGAAGCTCTGAAGACACCCTCACATGCAACAACGAGAATGAACATGGAGCACAGAAGGGCTTTGACAGAGAAATTAGCATACGTACAAACCCTTTTCTCCGACATGAACCCTATGCCTCCTTTCTCCGACGTGACTATTGTCCATAGAGATGAAGCAAAGAGGAGGAGTGTCAGCGTCACACGATGGAGATGGCAGGTCCAAGATGACTCACTAGATTTTACTTTAGACGGTGTACTAAATGAACTTGAGTTTACAAAAAAACGGCATGGCAGGCATCTAGAGAAGTGAAAAAAAACAATAAACATTGAACAACAACAACACACGAAGTGACTACAAATTTGATCACTTTCGAAGATGTTTAGGCCAGAGCATCACCACAATAATCACAAAACTCTGTTTTCACTACAGACAACAAGTCAGCTATTTATATGACGTAAAGAAGAATAAGGAATGCATGAGCTTGAGCGCTACATTGGCCCTCCATTCTCAGACCAAAGTCTACATATATATAACATATCTTATGCTACTTGCTGCTGTTGTCTGCTGCTATATTCCTTTTCCAAGAATCCAAATACCATCTTCAGCCGATCCTGCAGATTCACCAGGATGTTCTTTGTCACTCTTTTCTGATGTCTACTGCTCTTTAGCCATTCAATCCCAAAGTATACTCGCACATATGTTGTCTTTGCTTTTGATGTCACTTCTTCCATCTGGTATCTTAGATGGAGGTTGAAATAGTCTCCCAACGGAACTCCATGGAGAGTCATAACCTCTTCCACAAGCCACCCATTCTTATCTGGTACAAGGGATTTTTGCTGTGTGCTTGTTACTTCTCCTCTATAACGTGATATCCTCTTATCTCTGTAGTATGTCTGCCTCTCGTACACATCAGCCTTCTCTGACTCCCATGGGCTGCATGAATAGCTCTGGCAACCCGCTCTCTCCATTGCCTTTCGATCCACGTCACCCCCACCAAACAACTCCATAAAGAAACTTACCTATATAGAGTTATTAGAGATTAATGCATGAGACGATATTCAAAACTCATATACATTAAGATTCAGAGTCTCCATGTAACACATTGCATTAACTCACCGGAACAGGGAGAGTCAAAGAGTAGACCTCAGAGAATCTGACGTCATCAATACCCAAGAACGAACCACTCTCTTCACTTTGGAGCTTCTGCTCTGATTCCTCTTCAACAGCTTGCACTTTCTGCTCTGGTGTCAAGGATTTTGCTTTCCACAGAGCCATTATTGTCCTATAACACACAGATGAAAAGGCACATATCAACATCATGCTAAGCATATTGGTTGGGCACAGAAAAAAACTAAAAAGCTTATAAATACTAACAAATAAACCATAAGGGAAAGAGAAGGACTGGTCACTTACTTTTGTGCCACATTGAAAGACACAAATGAATGGAAATGGAACTTAAGCCTTCCTTCCTCATCATGTGTCTTTGCGCCTACCCGCGCGTCCATTCCTCTACCTGGTCTGAGAGTCATAACTACAATAGGACTCCCCATTGAAGCAAGAGTGGGAGGAAGGACTTGAATATCCTCTATATCTTCCCACAGGAAAAAGAACTTTGTTTTGTTACCAAACAAGCTTGCATAAAAGCCAACTGTTCTTGCAGACAGGAAAAGACGACCCTGCACAAACAACATTATGTATTAATTGAAAAGAGGATGCAGTTGAATATACTAAAACAATGTGAAGAACATCAAGATCTCGTCACCTGCAAAGGCATTTTCCTCTTTAAGTGACATGTAAAGTCATTAATCAGAAACTCTTCTTGCGGGAGACCAAACAGCTTCTGGAAGGCTGAGTTAGTTTGAGGAGACCGCACATTGATCTGAAATTTTCAATTTTGGCAGATAAGAACGCACACTAGCTACAGCAGATTAAATGCTGACTGAGAGAATAAAGTAGTAGCCCACATACCTTCTTGCCCACCTCTTTCTCCATCTTAGTTAAATAGTCTCTAACAACATCTCCACCTCCTGTATGATCCAAGAAAATCCTCAAGTGCAGTTTGGATTGACAAGCCTGAGCCAGTTTCCCTTGAAGTGGAACCCACACATCAGCTAGATCAGATATATTAGATCTCACGAAGTTGATCTCAGCATGTCCCAATGAAACAGCCTCGTCAAAAGGTCCGTCAAAATCGTAAACTTCAACGTTGAGTACAGAAGGAGGATCAGCCATTGCATCAAATTCAAATATTTCTGCCAAAAAAAAAAACAAGATTCCAAGCCTCAAAGATCTTAAACCTTCAAGAATAACTAGATATAAGTAAAACCATAGAGCAACCATTTACCATTCCAGTGAGGATTAGATTTCTGGAACTTGATGGAGCTGGTTCTCGTCTTGCCATTGGATGTAAATACAATATACGGATCACAATGGCCGCTTGGATCTACGGCTGCTAGGTCGACCCCCTCTATTAGAGCAACAGTTAGCAACCAACCATCTCCATGAGCTTTGATGCCATGATCACTGCCTACAAGAAAATGATCAGTCAATACACACAGAAGCTACCAATGAGAGAGCCCACAGAAATAATATGAATGGTGGAGGATGCATCTTCATGGATATTTATTTACCTTTCTGTTTTCTTGCCTGCATGAAACGGGAAATCAACTGCAACACTCTTTCGCACTGAAGAACAAGAACCCCACTAACAACAAACTCTCCAACCGAATCCGGTAAATCAAGGCCACTAAACTCGAGCCCTTGTATTGCACTAGGTAAGGACAACATAATATGGACAAATACATATACACCAATCAAGAAAGTGGAAAACACAGTGAAGTTGGCGAAATATTGTACTGCCAATTTCCAGTCTGATTGTGGCTCAGCTTGCAAGGAAGACAGAGCTTGCTCCTTGTTCACTCCAATATCCTTTGAATCCACAGGCTTTACATTTTGAGCCAACAAGGTTGCATACTGCTCAAAGCTGTCTTTTAGCCCTTGCCTGGCTCCATTCTCTATCATACCTTTCATCATAGTGCTCTGAAGAAAATTCAATCTCCATGAGATTACCAAACGGGAACACTGCTCCCCAGAAGGCAGCTCAGGACCAGGAGAGATGCAGTAAAGCACTTCAACTTTAAAGGTACTTCCAAACGGGACATCTGGAGTTGAAACAACCGCTAGAACAGAGTAAACCTCTCCATCCGCTTTGAGATACGCCTGCTCCTCTGTGCCTTTAACAGCCTTAATAATTTTAGTCGGAGCCTTGAGGTAACTCACAACCCGCTTAACACTCTCACCTTCGTTTTCAAGCTTCCACGGTCCTATCTGAACTTCCGTAGTCCCTTGCAACTCAGTCAACGACGCGTAGAAACTCGAATCAGGTCCGAAAAGCACAACGTTAAGATCTGATGGAGTTATCATAAACAACTGATCAACAAGAACCCCACCAGGTAAATTCCCAGGAGGTTCATTCCCCTGATCTCTCGACTCCATAGCTTTCATAACTTCCTCAAAAGAAGCCGGAGACGACTCATCTTCAGACAACTCAAGCGAAAAAATCGATCTAGACATCTCAGAGGAAGGCTCAGAAGCATCAACGCTCCTACTAATCGACTGCGCAGGTGTTGCTACAACAGAATCAGCATTCTTCTGAAAAATCTGCGCTATTCTACCAGCTAACGACTTCTGCGAATCTTTAGAAGATGAAGCAGCATCTTCAGATCTACAAGGAGATGCACAAGAAGAAAGATCAGCAGAAATCTCCATCCCCAAGTCAGAACTCCTCGAAGCAACAGAGACGTGATCTCCAATAGAATTCAAATCAAGAACCGAGTTCTTCTGACTAAAACATATCCCCAAAAGTATCTCACCTAAAAAAAACATAAGATTAGTTATATTGAAAGCTCCAAACTTTGTGTCTAAAATGTCAAAAAGCACAGATAAGGAAGGACCTTTACCACAATCTTTCTTGGAGCCTTTCTTCTTAGGGAGAAGAGGATACCAAACACTACCAAGAGATTGATTCTCAGCATCAAACACTTGCGAAACAGGAACACGGACCTGACCAACGAAGTCATCGTTGAAGTACTTATCCTCGTCAAGAACAGAGACGACGAGTTCATCTTTCAAATCATCAACACGGAAAGTGAAATCATCTCCCCATTTGGGGTTTAGGTTCTTCTTAACTACTTTGGTCCTTGACTTGTGTTTGCCGAGCTGTAACCTGACGTAAGGATCGCTGAAGCCGTTGAGATCCATTGCCGGGAGGTTCCTAGCTTCAATGACTCGGACCTGAAGCTTCATCTCTCTGTTTTCTCTCTTAACACACAAAATGAGATCGAGAAAACAAAAGGGTGGGGAATAATGGAGGTGAGGGTAAGGAAAGGGATGGTCTTTACGAGAGAGGGCCCGCCATTGATGAAGAAAGGGATCACATAAACAAAACAACAACAAAAAATTAGATAAAGATCGTTTTTTGATTTGAAACAAATAATGAATGAGGGATGTTTTTTTGGGGGGGGGGGGTCGCCGGAGACTTTATGAACAATTCCGCGTGAAGAGGGGTTGAGGAAGAAGAAGAAGAAGGGGTTGAGGATTTGACTTTTGCATTGTGAACTTTTCCTATTTTTTTCCAATCTATTATGTACGGAACCGTCATTACACTTTATTTTATTTTGGTTGTTTAATAATAATAATTTTTGGATTACATTTTTGTTTCATTTCGAGGATGATGGAAAGTGGCTCCGGCGTAATATTCGGTTCTATTTTACGTGGTAGATTCCGATTCCGATGGCTGTTTCTCTCTTTTTGGTCTCTTCTACTTGAGAAGTAAGTTTGGCTTTGAAAATAGAGATCTTTCTCAGTTTCTGTTTTCCTCTTTTGGATAAATTAAGGAATGAACCTAACAGCTTTCGTAAGGCTGAGCGATCGTATATTGGGCTTTCAAAAGGGCCTAATACTGCTGTTTTTGATTTTTATTTATTTTTTGAAAATGTAATTTAGTTTTTGATTTTTATTTATTTTTTTGTTCAATTTTGTGAATTTTTTTTTTAAATTTTCTGAATTTTAAGTTAATCTAATTTTGGTATTTCAGTTTATTTATTTTTATAAATCTTTTTTCTGTTCTGAAATTTTCTTATTTTTTTTTGAAAATTCAATTAACTTTATTTATTTTGATTATTTATTAAATATTTACTTTTCAGAAAAAAGAGATTTGATGAATTACCTATTTTACCTGTTCAACAGATTAAATTTTTAAGTTCAAGGTTTTTTGTGACAGAAATATCAATTTGAAACTTTAAAATGTTAGTGAAAAAAATTCAAAATTTAAAATGATAATAAATGTCACTTTGAAAGTTTTTTATGCGATTTTCCTTTTTTAAAAATTTGGTCATTGCATCTTCTCAGTTTTACAAACGGGACTAAGATCTCCTGGCAAATTTTAGAAAACGCTATACAATAAATTAAGTGTGACTACACCTTAGTATAAATAACAACTTACCCTAGAATCTAACCTAACTATGACAAGATTTAAACTATATAGATTTTCCTTTAGTATTTTTAAAAGATTATTTTAAAATTTATTTTATGATGATTATAATTATAAATATTTAATTTCGAAACTAGATTTTAAAAGATTTTTGAGAGATTTTGGTAGACTTTTCTTTGAAATATTTATTGTATTTCAAAATAAAAATAAAGACATTAAAAATATTATAATTAAGTTATGTAAAATTTAATAGTAAATATATTTAAAAAATTATAACAAACTGAAAAAAGATTTCAACAAGATCTCAATTTTTAAAATTTTATGTAAATATTCTAATTTTTTAACTAATAGAAAATATTACTATACCTTAATATCAATACTATTAAAACAGAAGCACTTTTTATCTACTTGCAAATAGTCTACCTCAAAACATTACATTTATTTAATTTTATGTTATGTTGCATACAACAAACTTAGTTATTATTAAATAAACACATAATATAATATAATATTTAAATATATTCAAAATAAGATATCAAAAAGATACTCTTAACTACTTTTTCAGATTACATATTAACAATATCTTTAATATATTTTTATTTTTTTAAAAAATATTTATTGTTTAAATATAATTTTAATAATAAAAAACGTAAAATAATATTAAATTAAATGAAAAATCCTATTAATTCATTTTGATTTATAGAATAAGAAATAACCTTCTATAAAATTTACATATAAATATTTTATATTTGTAACTAAAAATTACACAAAATTATAATTATAATATAAATTAATCTACTTTATAAATTATATACTAAATGAATTACATTTACAGAATAACAAAATACTACCATAAGATACTTAAAAAGAAATAATTTTATATTTTAATATACATATCTAAATAAAAACATTAGGATATAAAAAAATTTAATATTTAATTGTATGTAACTGATACACAAAATAATAATAAACAAATTCTTTAAAACTCCGCCAATACATAAAAATATAATTATCATAGATAAAGTATTAAAATCATTTTTATATATATATATATTATAAAATAAATATTAATAATAGCTACTTTTTATATTAAATTATATGATGAAACATGTTATTATTGATATTTTTATGATTATAATTTTACGGGTAGTTCCAATAAACAAAAAAATATCTAACAAAAATAAAATTAATTTAACAAATATAAAACATAATTTAAGTTATGCTTGGGAGTTCAAGTACCTATTGAAATATGGGTCGGATATTTTGAATCAAAGCTAATTTATATCACATTATGGGTGTCATAATTTGTAAGTAGGCATGTTTGTAAGTATGAATCAAATTCAAATATAACACGTCGGGTTTTGTTCTAATCTGTACACATCCTAAAACTGATAAAGTAACCATATATCGTTCGAATTCTGGATATATTGGTTTGGAAATCTAAAACCAAAAAAAAAGATACTTATTTTTATAGAATTGGATATTAAAGTACTTATTTAAAATTTAGGTAATTAATTTTAAATAGAATTTTAAAATAAATATAGAACTGGATATTTAAACTATATATTTATGTTTCAAATATTTATATTTATGATTAATTTGGACATTCAGATTGATTTAGATTTTTTCCAGATTTTTCGTTTTTTTTGTTATTCGTTCGGGTCTGGCTAATAACACTTTGATTTGAATATATTTGTACCACTATACAAAACTCATTCTGATATATTTTAGATTTTGACTGTTACGGATATATTTATGCACATGTCTACTTTATATTAAACAAAAATATGGTCATATAAAATTTTCACTGAAAGATTATCATGTATTTTTGAAAATACTATGTTTGATGAAATTAATAAACTAAATAAGTCTATCTCACATTCTACATATATAAGAACTGCGATTATATAAAATTTGCATCAAACATAAATCCGCGCTTTGAAAGCGCGGGTCAAAATCTAGTATGTTTTATAAAATGCAAAATAATTTTTATCATATTTTTATTTATTTTTGAACCATAATCATTCATATTAAAATAATTATTATACCAAATTAAATATAATAAAATTATATTAAATATATTTTATTTTATAAATACAAATTTTATGTAACAATAATATAATATGTTAGCAATACAAGTTAACATACTAGACTATATAATACATGTCTACAAAATAACATATATAAATTTTTATATATACAACAATATATATCTAAAATGAATAAATATAAAAAATTACTAAATGGTAATCTATGATTTTGAAGTGCGGATAAGAATTTAGCATAAATTAAATACATATTAACTTTAAATATATTGTTAATATTTTCCTAGTTTGTTGGGTCCTAAAATCATATAAAAATTGGCTTTATGTGGGTATAAGTTCACTTTCACCGTCTGCAATCCTTCGAGATTGCATCAATACTATTAAAACACAAACACTTTTTTATTTACTTGCAAGTAGTCTATCTCAAAACATTATATTCTTTTAATTTTGTGTTATGTTACATATATATAACAAACTTAGTTATTATTAAATAACAACATAATATTAATATAATATTTAAATATATTTAAAATAAGATATCAAAAAGATACTCTTAACTACTTTTTCAGATTACATTTTAACAATATCTTTAATATATTTTTATTTTAAAAATAAATATTTATTGTTTTAATATTATTTTAATAATAAAAACGTAAATTATAAATGAGTATTAACTCATTTTAATTTATAGAATAAGAACTAACTTTCTATAACATTTTTATATAAATATTTTATATTTGTAACTAAAAATTACACAAAATAATAATTATAATATAAATTAATCAACTATATAAATTATAAACTAGATGAATTACACTTACAAAATAACAAAATACTACCATAAGATATTAAAAAAATGAAATAATTTTATATTTTAATATACATATCTAAATTAAAACATTAGGATATAAAAAATAACATTTAATTATATGTAACTGATACACAAAATAATAATAAACAATTTTTTTTCAAACCTCCACCAATACATAATAATATAATTATCATAGATAAAATCGTAAAATCGTTTATATATGTAGAATTTTTTATAAAATAAATATTAATAATAGCTACTATTAATATTTAATTATATGATAAAACATGTTATTACTGATATTTTTATGATTATAATTCTACGGGTTATTCTAATAAACAGACAAAATATTTATCAAATATAAATTAATTTAAAAAAATATAAAATATAATATAAGTTATGCTTCGGAATTCAAGTACCTATTGGGATACGGGTCGAATATTTTGAATCAAAAATAATTTATATCACATCATAGCCTCATAGGTGTCATAATATGTAAGTAGACATGTTTGTAAGTATGAATCAGATTCAAATATAACATGTCGGGTTTGATTCTAATTTGTACACATCCTAAAATCGATAAAGTAACAATATATTGTTCGGATTCGGATTATATTGGTTTGGTAATCTAAAATCAAAACAAAAGAAAGATACTTATTTTTATAGAATTGGATATTAAAGTACTTAGTTAAAATTTTGATAACTAATTTTAAATATAATTTTAAAATAAATCTAGAACTGAATATTTAAACTAGATATTTATGTTTCAAATATTTATATTTATGATCAATTTGGACATTCAGATCGATTCAGATTTTTTTCCAGATTTCTTTGGTTTTTGGGTTATTCATTCGGGTCTGGCTAATAACACTTTGATTTGGATATATTTTGTACCACCCTACAAAACTCCATCTGATATATTTTAGATTTTTGACCGGTTACAGATCCAATTTTTTTTTGTTTAGATTAAATTTAGACGTCGAGTTATGGATTTTATGCACATGTCTACTTTATATAAAACAAAATTGCGGTCATATAAAATTTTCGCTGAAAGATTATCCTGCATTTTTAAAAAGACTATGTTTGATGATATTAAAGAACTAAACAAGTTTATCCCACACTTCTACATGTATAGGAAATGCGATTATATAAAGTTTGCATCAAACATAAACTTGTTTAAGAGTTAAGACATTAGTTTTGACGAAAAGAAAAAAAAATCTAGTTATCTTATTGGTTTTAGACCGTGAACTTCAGCTCTATAACTGTGCTTAAGAGTTAAGACATTAGCTTTGACCAAAAGAAAAAAAAAAGAGTTAAAGACATATAAGAAGCCAAGAGATCAGACATAGAATCAACGAGATTATTCAAACAAAAGGATTATATTGATTTATCATATTAAATATTTATCAGACTGAATCATCAGGAATATCAATATAAACAACAATGGGGCTTCTAACATTATGGGTGCCATCAGACCATATTAAACTTGCAGAAGAAGGCAGCTTTGGGTCGATGTTGCTTCCTGAAACAGTCACGGTGAAAGACTGCTTCTCCTTCACAGTTTTCATAGCTAGAACACTAGGAGAGACCTCGACATTGAGCTTAGAACCGTGATTTAAGACAATCTGCGATTTGTATGTAGAGTTGGGGGTACCGACGTTGGTGACGGTTCTGTTGAAAGTGACGGTGAAGGAGCTATTAGTTTTCGAAAGTTGAGCCGACATTGAAGGATAGTTGAGGTTTCTTGGTAAGGTATTATTTCCACTGCAAGTGACAGCTTCACCGGTAATGAGTTTAAGGGTTTTTGAAGTGTAGTTCAAACCGCAGAGAAAGGTTATGTGGTCTGCTTTGTCTAGTTCATAGACAAGTCCAGGATTTAGAGCAGCTATTGGGTCCACATGTCCAGCTCCGTAAGCGAACTCGGTTGATGCAACCCCAGTTTCAGAAGCATTCATTGACCAAGCTGCAAATAATGTTAATTAAGACACACCATATCAGCCAAAAGGTTAGAAGAAACTAAAAGCTGGATATGAGTTTTGCGTTGTTACCGGTTGTCATGATGGCAGATTGAATCATGGCAGGAGACCAGTCAGGATGAAAAGTCTTGATGTATGCAGCCACGGCTGTAACGTGTGGACAAGACATTGAAGTTCCAGATATAACAGAGTAATTCACATGTCTTCGGTCTCTATCCTCGTCTTCTGAAGGTGAACCCAAAGGTGAAAAAGCAGCTAGAATCTCCACTCCTGGTGCTGTTATATCCGGCTGCATTTCAATCAACCCTTTTTTTTTTGTCTCAAACCCTAAACCCATATATTTGTACTAAAACAAAATCTAACAGTATATAGTCACCTTTAGAAGGTCAACAGCGATTGTGTTTGGACCGCGAGAAGAGAAGGAAGCAACTTTAGGAGATTTCTGATTAAAGACTGCCTCAGTTTTTAGAACAGTGCCTTGTGGGGACCTGAGGAAAACAAACATAGATATATATATATCAGGACAAACATAGAATATTTAAGTGCATGAAACAGAGAGAGATTTACTTTGTGGAGTTAACGTAAGAGACAACAAAGTCATAATCATCTGGTAATAGAGCAGAGAGGGGATGAGGGGTAACGGTGGCCAAGTTTGGGTCGTCTTTAATTATGGTTGCAACAGCTACATCTGAACCAAATGAATATATGCTCACCAATATTTTTCCCTTGACCTGTTCAGATCTTATGGAGACTAGAGGATAGTTCTTTCCTTCCAGATCAAAAGCATTCACTGATCTCCCCTGTTAAAACACACATGTATGAAAGGGACAAATAAAGAAGATACTATATATATATTATTCATAGGAATGAGAAATGGTTAATTACTTGATACTTACCACAAGTGTCTTTCCGTTTTGGATAACAAATTTGGTCAGAAACTCACGGTTTGTTGTGCTGGCTCCAACGGATAATATCCACGGCGCAACGCTACTGACTGTGGTTGGACTCGGACCGCTGTTACCGGCTGAGTTCACAGTGAGGATCCCTTTGGCCATAGCATGGAAAGCCCCGATGGCGATTGTGTCCTCTTGGTAGTTAAGGGCCTCTCCCGCTTCCCCGATGGAGATGCTGATGAAATCCACACCATCTGCTATCGCGTCATCGAATGCAGACAGTATAGCATCATCGGTGCAGTCTGTGCTGTTGCATACTTTGTAAGCAGCGATCCTCGCAGCTGGAACGCCGCCTCTAGCGGTTCCATTGCCGATTCCAAAAAAGCTTGCCCCCGCAACTGCGTTTCCAGCCGCAATGGATGATGTGTGTGAGCCGTGGCCATCAAGGTCCCTGGTGCCTTCGCCTGTGTAGTCTCTTGCTCCGATCAACTTGCTGAAAAGACAATTTGTAAACAGCAATGTTATAAACAATATACTTCTTCCGTTTCGATTTACTTGTCGTTGTAGAATAAAATTTTCGTTTTAAAACAAGTGTCGTTTTATAATTTTAATGCAAAATTTATTAACTTTATCTGCTATTCTATTTTCCATTAGTAAAAAAATGGTTAGGTGTATAGGTAATTGTGTTTTTATCTCAAAAATGTTTTTTATTATGTGTACAAAAAACTAAAATGACAAATAAAGTGAAACGGAGGGATACTATTTTTATAAGAGAATACTATTTGGTGGAGAATTACTTGTTGCAAGTGAAGTTTTTGCCGCCTGAACAAACACCTTTCCATTTCTTTGGAGTAGGACCAAAGCCTTTGTCAGAGAAGCTCTCTGATTCTGGCCATATCCCAGTGTCAAAAAGACCGATGATAGTGTCACTTTCTACGGCTAGGTTTCGCTTTGTATTATTTCCTTCTTTTAACCCCATGAAATCCCAAGACGCTGTTGTTTGGATTTGTAACTTCTTGCTCCGGAACACTGACACAACTCCTTCCATCTCTAAGACAAAAATTATGACATTTAGTTAAATTTATCTTACAGCATTAGTATGTATGGGTTGGGTTATAAGATTAAAAAAAATCACACACGGGCCATTCTTTCTCGTTCTGGCTCAGAGAGCCGGGCAGCGAACCCATTGAAACTTCTCTTGTAACTTCTTACTAGACGATCTTCGATCGAACTGTATATATATAAATATTTGTGTATGATGCATGTATCACTTGTTAGAATCCTCATCATAACGTAAACAAATTATAATTTATTAATGGGTATGGAATGAATATGTTAATTAGCACCTTTCTCCGGTGATCTCTTGAAGGATGCTCATGTGATGAGACATTGGTGTGTATTCTTTCCCAGTGAGAAGTGATCCCATGTAGACAATATACAGCTTCATGAATTAATATTATATCATCATGTATTATGGATTAGATTCAAATAATAGATACACAAATTACTTGATAATCATTAATTATGAGGCCATACCTGTTTATCCTGAGGATCATCTGTAACTGCTGAGACTGAACTCAATAACAAGACGAGTACACATGAGAGAAGACAAAATGATTTTGGTAATTTCTCCATTTTTTTTATAAGATGAAGCAATATGTAATTTTTTTTATGGGATGGACATGCATGATAAGATGCATATATAGTAGAAAAATCCTCTGGTTCTGTTTCTCTTATTGCAGTTATATTACCAGAATTTGGAATGACTTACATGAATGATATCATTGAATATTGACTTGTTTTAGTAAACATAGTAATTACATAACTAATTTGCCTCTTCTACTTTGAAGTCAAAGTGTTTTTCAACTTCTTGCTCAAAACCAAAAATTACTTAACTTATTTAGCAAGTGATTTCCTTATTTGTCATCATTACATTTATTTTTGAAAACTAAAAATCTTATAAACTTATTTACAAAGTGATTTATTTTTCATCACTACATTCATTCTAATAAAATGACATGACTTATGTAAATATGACATAGCATTAAATTAATTGTGACATGCATAATTATTTTCCTTTATAAATATATACGTTTTAGCAATATTTTTAAATATATTAATAACTAATAACTCATATATCATTATTAAAGTAAATTTCCAATATAAATATTCATTTTGAAAAATAAATAAATGTAATAATTAATAAAGCATAAATCATCATGAAGATAATATGTATATCACATTAGTTGTTAGAATATTATTTGCGAAAAGATTTGCTTATATATCATCACTACATTCATTTTCTATAAGAAAGTATAACATGACTTTTTAAATGGTTAATTTTACAACTAACTAATTTTGAAATTAATATTAAGAATATAACTATCAATTTGATATAATTAAATAGACTAGGTGATTTTTCCGTGCTCATGCACGGATATGAATATTCATAAAAGTAAAATTTTATAGTAATTAATTGATATTTAGTTTTAATTTTGAATCAATTTATAGAAATAATTTATATTAATAAATACTATATTAATCTAATTATACATATGACTTTGGGTATATTATTGTCGGTTTAATTAGTTTTTGGACCAATAGCCGGTTTGGTTATGAATTTGGTATTTTAGATGATATCTATTTTCAAATTCATCTATAATATTTTTTATTTTAAATATAATAAAACTTTGATTAATTTTCTAATTTTAATTTCGGTTGGTTATTGTCTTAGATATGTAAATATATTATAGTTAAATTATGTATAACTTAATATATATTGTGCTTAAAACGAAATAAATAATAAGCTGAAGTGTTCGATTTAAATTTACATAAATGAATATAATGATAATATCTTGAAGTCTCATGCATATATATAAATTCTACAAAAGAATCAAATTGTAATTGGTTAATATTTTTTTTTAATATTCTTTGAGTCAACCTCTAATTTATATGTACAAAATTAAATCGATTATTATTATTATTATTATTATTATTATTATTAATATTATTATTATTATTCTTATTATTATTATAAAATTATATATTCTTATTGTAGTTAGATGTTTAATTTTGGATATAAATTAGATTAGTCAAGTCATTCATGTTGTGACTATATTGAGTTAAATATCTTTTTAAATTAAAATTGAAGTATAATTACTTTTTATTTTAGTTAAGTCAAATCAAATTAGTTATATTTAACTCTTAAGTATACATGTATTTTCATAATATTTATTTACTCTTTAATTTAGTTAAGTCAAATCAAATTAGTTTTATTTATCGCTTAAATATACATGTATTTTCATAATATTTAACAAATTATATATCGATTTCTAAAAATATTAAAAAATAAAGTGTAACTGATAAAATTTTGGATGTTCATGAACATATATATTTGAAAATATATTTTATGTTACTAAAATATGTATTAATGGGGGTATTACTATTTTGTGAACTTTCCTTTTAAATAAAATCATATTATATACATATATTTCGTTTTTTTAAATTTAGAAATATTTCTTTTTTTTATATATGTTATTTGGAAAAATTTAAAAAGAAAAATAAATGAAAAAATTAATAATAATCTTAAAATCTAATAATTTATTAAGGGTATCTATGTAATCAACCATCGTGTGAGAGTTAACGTGAGTGCGACACGTAGGAAACTGACTTCTCCAATAATATTATAGAGATTTTAGTTAAGTCAAATCAAATTAGTTTTATTTATCGCTTAAATATACATGCATTTTCATAATATTTATCAAATTATATGTTGATTTCTAAAAATATTAGAAAATAAAGTGTAACTGATCATTTTTTGGATGTTCATGAACATATATATGTATTTATTATTTTGAGAATATATTTTATCTTTTTTAAAATATATATTAATGGGGGTATTACTATTTTGTGAACTTTCCTTTTTAATAAAATCATATTACAGTATATACATATATTTTCGTTTTTTTTTTAATTTAGAATATTTTCTTTTTATTATATATGTTATTTGGAAAAATGTAAAAATGTAAAAAGGAAACTAAATAAAAAATTTAATAATAATTTTAAAATCTAATAATTCATTAAGGGTATCTATGTAATCAACCATCGCGAGAGTTAACGTGAGCGCGACACGTAGGAAACTGACTTTTCAAATAATATTATAGAGATAACACTTTCTTTCATTTTTCTTTCGGTTTTAGGCTTGTGTATTGCATGAACATGTGAAATAAGTTAATTGATGACATTGACGAGTTTTCCACATGTGTCCTGGAAAAAAGATTTGATTGTACTATCGAGATTCATTATTTTTCTTACTCAGACAACATTTACAATCGAGAAGAAGAGAACGGGAGGAGGTTATGAGACATGGATGATGACGGTGATGGAGGAAAAATGGTGAGTAGTGGTGATTATTGCGGTGATGGTGATTGTCACGTCCACGGAGGTAGTGATTACGGTAGGGGCGGTTATGGATTGTGGAGGTGATTACGATGGTGTCGGTGAAGCTGTGCTAGATTTGAAATCTGTAAAAGACACAATGGAATTGGTGGTAGTTGTGGTGGTAGTGACAATGATGGTGATGGTGATGGTTACAAAGGAAGTGATGGACATGGATATGTGGGAACGAACCAATGGCCTTTTATAACATATATTAGAAATAATATTGAACAAACTAGCTGGTATAACAAGTATTAGTAAAATTATTAACTAGAATGGTATACTCGAAATGAATTGTTTTAACTTCCTCTACATATATGGCTATTTCATTGACTATATGTATCTTATAGAATATTAAACAACAAGAAAAAAAAACTATAAACGTTTATGTGAAAATTACTTTTCATCTTATGAAATATGCAAGTATATATAGAAATGAACAAATTAAATGGTATACTGCATATTAATATTAATGAAATTACAAAAATGATTTAGAATACTATACCACACACATCTCAATTTTTAAAATATTATAAAAATAAATTTTATAGTTAAAACATTTGGATGTGATGGTGGTTGAGGAAAACCGGTGGTGGAAAGATATGGTTACGGATTTGATGGTGCTCATGGTGGTGGCAACTACAGTGATAGTGGAAGAGTGACAGAATATCAGAGTTAATGCTGATTACAAAGGAGGTGGTGGTGATTATGGCGGAAGAGATGGTGGTTGAAAAGATGATGGTTAATTGGATTCTGGCAAAGAAAAATACTAAATATTGAACAAAGATTGCAGAATTGTGGTGATTGTAATGGAAGTGGCAACAACAACAGAGGCGGTTGTGATTATAAAAAAAGCAGCAGCGGTGGTGATTGGTAATTGATAACTAAGTATATTATATAACATAGTAATAATGATGACTCTTGTTTATTAGTTAGGTTTTCAAAAATATTTTATTTCTTAAGTATTCAACCTGATCTTATATATTAAAACAGAAGTCACGACTTCACTTCATGTGCGATATTTTTTAAAATAGTCTTTTCTTAGAAAGATATGTTCCATTTATTATAAAAACATTTTGATATCATAACTAAATCAACTCATATATTATCTCACTATAATAACAACCTTACCTATAATATTAATTCGATTTACCAAAATAATTTATCATCGTTGATATATCACATACTAGATACATGAATATAGTGACATTCTCATGTACGGCAACCTTGGTGTATCTATATACTATTATATAAGAAGTAAATTTGCTTAGTTGTCAACTTCTCATTGATTTTAGGTAAATTTATTTATTATTTAGTAAAAAACGAATTTATATTAATAATATTATATTTTAGAAAATTGATTTGTAACTTCTCCATAATTTTTGTAATTTTTCTTATTTGTTATATTTTTAATAATTTTATGAATAATTTATCATATAATAAAACCAATTTCTGTTAATACTATTCTACTTTTAGAAAATAAGATAATTCTGATGTATTATATTGTATATATACATTATAAATAATACTAAAACAAAAATATAAACAATAAAATTATTTTGAGTGAAAAATAATATACAAATACATATATACATAAAATTGAAATAACACCCGTATGGTTGCTTAGGTCAATGTTTAGAAATAGAAACAAATATTTCTTTTACAAATAATCTTTAAAAATACTTATTCAATTTCAAATTTGAAAATTAATCAATTCAAATTGTTATTATCATTAAACTATTATCATTAAAATATTATTCAGAGTATTTATATACTTATTAACTTTTATTTTGCACCAAAACTAAACTAAAATTTAGTTTTAATTGATTTTAAGATAATTATAATTTTAATTAATTAATTTCGAAATTAGATTTTATAAGATTCTAAAAGATTTTTGAAAGATTTTGGTAGAATTTTCTTTGAAATATTTATTCTATTTCAAAATAAAAATAAAGACATTAAAAATGTTATTATTAAGTTATGTAAACTTTAATAGTAAAGATAATTAAAAAATTCTAACAAACTGAACAAAAAAAATTAACAAGATCTCAATTTCAAAATTTATGTAAATATTCTAATTTTAGTTAATAAAAAAATATCACTATACCTTAATATATGTGGTGTTTTTCCCCATAGTTTCTTTAATTCATAATTAATCACCGTATTTGTTGTTATTGTGTACCGAAGCCTCAATCATGATCAACTTTGGCAAGGTCTGAAACTTTCAGTTTCTACAAACATTTTCATCACAACATTTTTTTAGTTGATGCGAATCTAATGATTTTGTAAGTTTTTTACAATAAAATATTATTCAATGTAGAAAATTTTAATTTATTAATACAAAGGCTAAAAATGTAGAAAAATGAATTAATTAAAAATAGTATATAAGTACATTAAATAATGAATTAAAAAAATTAGTGTGTGAACGCATTAATTATCAAATGATTGTGAAGTCCACACATGTCAATTATGGTGTGAACGCATTTATTACAATGCTTCTCTTTTAATATATAAGGGATTACGACATATGAACTATAAAATTATTATATCTGAAATATTTTTATAAATATTTAAATATACAATTAACGTTAAATATATATGAAATCAAACATCCGGGAACCGCGCGGATGAAAGTCTAGTTAGTTAAATCAAGTTATTATCTCACTCAGTTCCTCTCTCCCTTGAATAAATCTTCTATGTTTTACTTCCTCAGAGTAAAGAGGAGCAATAATTAAGTGGATCACAATTGCATGAACTCTCTAGTCTTGAATTAATCATGAATTCGTGGTATGTTGTAACATGCTACATGAGCAAATATTGAGAAAGTTTACAAGTAAGATGTTCACTAACATGGTTAAACTAATCAAAGATTTACAGTTTCATGCAACCGCTTTGCCCATCTTCTAGCCATAAAAGGATCATAATAGTCCCAAGCTCCAGCATTAATGCTTCTTCTCACACTATTGCTGCACACATAGTCTTCACCCCTCCCACCTCCAGATTCATAACAATCATCACTTTCTATCCCTTCCTTGTCCTCAACTAAGCTCAGTGTCGTCTCCCCTCTTCTCCTGATACACTCATTACTGTCTCCTTCCACATAGCTATAGCAGAGATGAACATTAACATGCCCACCAAGATCTAGCAACACTTGTCTCTCTTCACCACCTCTCAACTCCCCTACTCTAACAATCTTCCCTTCCATCCCGATCCTCAGTTGAATATCACTCGCTACTCCTCCCAACACGTTTTCTAGAAACTCTTCCAACTTATGAAACACAAAACCATTCCAAGTCTCAGTACCAAACCCAACGTGAAACCTATGGACCATGACACCTCTATGCATCACGCTGTTGGGATAATATGAGCTTATTGGACTACTTGAGATATGTAGAACGCTGCACTGTGGATTCTTGTAGGTACGATCTTTGAGTACTTTAATGCCCTTAAGAATGCCTTGAGAAGGGTCAGCTTGTCCCGTGTAGAAGAGACGGTCTATCACTCGCAGAGCCGCCCGCTTTCCACATGAAGTCATGCGTCTCAGAGCAAACACACGTGCTGCAACACATGAGTATGTCACTATGGATAGACGATCAACTGGTCGAAGAGAGGAGGTTACTAATATCATAGCTTGCTTGAGAAGGCGAGAATGTGGCCCGCTAGGACTCGCAACCAGAACCAAGTCAATGGGTTGTGGATCTTTCAGCTTCACCGAGAGATATGCATTTCTTGTGCCCAACGAACTGGTCAAGTGACTTTGACTTGTGTCGAACCCTCTACACATTTGTAATGGAGAATAAGCACCTTGGAGAGGTTGGAAGCAGCATGGATAAGACATCAGGTTGGGAGCAACTGTGAGAGGGATTAAAGAGAAGTCTAGACGAGGATAGCTCGTGGTGGAGTGAGGAGGGGAGATAGGATCATCATCGTTGTAGCGAGCAGAGCGAAGGAGCGAGCGTCTTTGGACGCGGGAAGTGGCAATGGAGTCATCAAGAATACGAAGAACAGAGTCGTCTTGTTGGCGTTCAGAGAAGTGGGGAAAGGAAGGAGCAGGGAGATGGGTCCAATGGGCACGGCAAACAGGACAAGTGACACTTCCATGACGCACATTGGAAGCAATGCACGAATAGTGGAAGGAGTGCGAGCACTGTCCAGTGAATGTAGCTTCACTGGGAGAGTTATCATCACAATGACTTAGAGGTTCTAGACAAATAGCGCACAAGATCTACAAAGAAACGCACAGATCCATGAGTTAACACAACACTTAAGTTTAAAAAATGAGGCAAGTGGGATACCGTAGAAGTAGGATTAGTGGAGCCTGCTTTATCTATGGCTTCTTCATTGACCTCATGGTGATGAGGCAGAGGAACATTCTCTGGCTTTATAATAGCTGTAGATCCCCGTGAACTCTGTTTCACATGCTAAGACAATAGCTTTGTCAGTGAAACACAAGTTGGTTAAGCAAAAGAAAGGAAGAAACAGCATACCAGAGGAGGAAGAAGAGAAAGAGAGCGACAAGCAGCTAAGACCAGTCTCTTTGTGGCCTTCTTCAGCTTCGAAGTTGTTCGTCCCATTCCCATTTAGAGAGAAGACAAAGAATCTCTCACACTGATCAACGGATGCTTGAACTTTGAAGATAGGCCAATGTGAATGATAGCTGAAGAGTATTAATAGAGACGTTAGGGATAAAGAGTAAAGGAAAACAGCTTAAAGAAAAACTTGACCGCGACTCTTTCGGCTTTTGTGTATGTTTTTGACTACTCTTCTTTTTTTAATTATCATGTAAAGAAGTGCTCAAGAAGCGCACTATTTTTTCAAACTAAAAACAAAAAACACATCGGAGACAAGATAGGACCCACACACTCCGTCTCTCCTATTTGTCATTGTGTCGTTATGCTTCTTTATGCAACACACATCACCGTCAACATAAGACAATATTCACACCTTCCATGGTCCAAGTCCAGACTTTTTTTTATGTAAGTTAGAAATAGCTACAAAACTCATTGCTTTATCAGATATAGTTTCCCATCTCAGCTGCAGCAACAGTCCATCAAGTGAATATCATAGTCATAACACTAAGAGATGTCTTCACCAGTACATGAAAGAATTAGCCTAAAAACAAGGATATCACTAGTGACATTGGGAACAATGTGCTAAGCCTGTAGAGGGCAATGAATCACAAACAAAGGCACATAGCATAAATAGTGTAGTCTTTTTTCTTTTTTTTTTTGAAACAACATAAATAGTGTAGTCTGTATTCAAGAATAAACAGAGTTATAAGAAGAGACTTTTCTACTACACAGCGCTATCAAGACAGGATAAGACAAGACAACCTCCCTAATTACAAATACTATTCATTTTCTATAAAGAAAGGGCACAAGTACAAGTGATCCATCCGGTCAAAAGATGGAAAAGTAGAAATTACCAGGTGATAAGTAAAGATTAATTATAGATGACGAAGAAAAAAAGATTAATTATAATCACAGTCGCAACTTTTTCTTTTCTTATTGGGCTTTTATAAAGCCCAAGCCCATAAACGATTTTTTAATCAGTAAAGCGAACTCCCTCAGGCGACGTGTCAATATCTACACGGCTACGCTCGCCACGTCTCCACCATGTAACTTCCTCTCCGATAATAACATCAGACTCACTCCACTCTCCCTTCTCTCAATCTCCTCATGGCAGAAGCGATCATCATCAAAAACCTCCCATCACTCACCAACCTCCACCAACGCCGCAACCCACTAGAAGAAAACCCCTTCTTCCACCCTTCCCGCGGCTTCTACATCACTCCTTCCGACGTCATCCTCTCCCAAGTCGTCCACGACCTCTCCTCCGCCTCCCAGCCCCAAATCGCCTACCACAGAGCCGGTCCCCGCCGCGAGATCGTGTACGAGCCATCGTCTGTGAAGGCGGCGATCGTGACGTGCGGAGGTTTGTGCCCCGGGATGAACACCGTCATCAGAGAGCTCGTGGTTGGTCTTTGGGATCTCTACGGTGTGAGAGAGATCTATGGGATCCCTGCTGGTTACAGAGGCTTTTACTCCATGGAGGCTGTTGAGTTAAACCCTAAGCTTGTTCATAATTGGCATAAGAAAGGCGGCACTGTTCTTGCCACCTCTCGCGGTGGCTTTGATCTCGGTAAAATCGTCGACGCGATCGAACATAACGGTTATAACCAGGTCCGGTTTACTCTATGGGTTTTAGATTTTGTATTAGAGTGTGTACCGGTTTCGCTAAACCATTAATTAGACTTGATTGAAACCAATTTAAACCGGAAATCAATGAAATCATGTTATTTTTAAGCCTTGATATACACACGGTTTACTATATGGTTTTGAGATTTGTATTAGATTATGTACCGGTTTCACTAAACCATGTAATTAGATTTGATTGAAACCAATTTAAACCGAAAATGAGTTAAATGCTGTTATTCTTAAGCCTTGATATACACGGTTTACTATATGTTTTTAAGATTTGTATTAGAGTATGTGCCTGGTTTCACTGAACCATCTAATTAGGCTTGGTTAAGACTAAATGGTTCCCATAAGCTCTGATATAGAGTTGATAGACGGTTTACATTACTCTTAACCAAGTCTAGTTACATGGTTTAGTGAAACCGTTACATACTCTAATTATTTGATCACCTACATTTCCCTGAATACAGTTGTTACCTGTTTGGTTTCAAGAACATTATAAATTTATAATGATGCTATGAAGTTGAGTTTTAAATTAAATCTTGTTTCAGGTCTATATAATAGGAGGAGACGGCACTATGCGTGGAGCTGTGAAGATCTTCGACGAAGTCAGCCGAAGGAAGCTGAAAGTGGGAATCACTGGTATTCCCAAAACGGTGGACAACGATGTGGGCATCATTGATAGATCATTCGGGTTTCAAACGGCAGTAGAGATGGCTCAGGAGGCTATATCCGCGGCCCACGTGGAGGCTGAGAGCGCTGTCAATGGCATTGGACTAGTGAAGCTAATGGGCAGAAGCACTGGACACATTGCGCTACACGCCACACTAAGCAGCCGTGATGTGGACTGTTGTTTGATCCCTGAGATGGTATTCTACCTTGACGGTAAAGGAGGGTTGTTTGAGTTTCTGGAGCAGAGACTGAGAGATAATGGGCATGCTGTGCTTGTTGTGGCTGAAGGCGCTGGACAAGAGATGATCCCGAGGAATGAAGCGCAGAAACAAGAGAGGGATGAATCTGGAAACCTTGTTTTCTTGGATGTGGGAGTTTGGCTGAAGTCAGCGCTGAAGGAGTGGTGGGAGCGAGAGCATCCAAAGGAGCTGTTCACTGTGAAGTATATTGATCCAACTTACATGATAAGAGCTGTACCTGCGAATGCAACGGATAACTTGTACTGTACGCTCTTGGCTCACTCGTCTATCCATGGAGTCATGGCTGGTTACACAGGGTTTGTGTCTGGTCCGATCAATGGGAACTATGCTTACATCCCCTTAGAGGAGGTGGCACAGACTAAGAATGAAGTGAACACTAGTGACCCCAAGTGGGCTTGGGTGCGCTCTGTCACAAACCAGCCTGGTTTTGAAACGAATTTTAAGGGGTAAACACTGTGAGACCCTTGATAAGATCTTGTAAGCTAGTAATAATCGCATGTGTATGATCAAACAATGCAACTATCAAGGCAATCTTAATATGCTTGATCCTCTGATATCTATCTATCTATCTAAATAACACTGTTACAAATAACAGTACAATGCTTGCTTTTCTGGGCGTTCAGATGGGAGTGATGAAAAGTTGAAACAAAGATGAGATCTTATCCTGATAAGTACATTACTATGTTTAATTCTATGGCTTAAGGGTAGTTGCAGAATCGCTTTCTTGAACAATAAGATGAAGAAGAATGGTTGAGCAGGAGCTTGAGCTCTGCACTGTATTAATAATACAAGATAATGCCACTTGACCATCTACAAGTATCATCAGTTCTTTAAAAGTATAGAAAGATAAAAAAAAACCAGATATCTGGTGAATGCAGACAAGAGACTTGAGTTTCTGTGGCCCTTACATGTTTAACTCCACTACTTGTCTCTACTTACTTGATACTTACGCTCTGATCCTGTTCCTTGCCTCACCAGCTTCTTGGGGTCTGTACTGGATCTGATTCTCTCCTCTCCTCTTTGGCTTCCTCCCTCGCGCATGCTCTTAGCTTTACCTATAGAAGCTGTCTCAGCTGGACCTAAGTGAAGCTTGTGCATCATGCTGCTGGTTTCATCCGCAGGCATCTCTTTACCTCTTGAGGCGAGAACTTGGCTCGCTGCTTGACTTAATACTCCTTTGGAACTGCTCTCTTGGTCGAAGAAGAGGGCTTGGACAACAGTTCTCAATGGCATCCTCTCGTTTTTCACAGCGTGGGCTCGTACCTCTGCAGATAATTTCTGGCAGTCAAGACTTCTGCACAGTCGTTTTTTCTCATCTTTGCTTATCTCCGGATGCACCTGCAATGTAACCAATGTTGTTGTAAGTACCAAACTTGATAATGATTGCTAGGTTGGTGTGACTACCTTGAGATACATGTTGATTGCTTTGTAAAGTCTGTCATGGCTCTCGCGTGCGATGTCAGGCACTGCCTCGGCAAGAGACACGAAATTAGGAACTGGCATATGAACATCTTGTGCAACTGCCTGAAGATAAGAGTCAATAAGCTTTGCCACCTTCCTGATTGAATGTAGCAACTGACTGTTACTAGAAACATGCGCAGAAGACTGTCTTCTCCAGAGCATTAGAAAACTATCAAGAACTGCAGCAACCAAGTCAGTATCATAACGATGAAGATGAGAGGATGACTGTGACGGCAACAAGAGATCTGCAAGAGTTGCCTCCTCGAGCTGCAGACCAGCTTTTCTAATCAACTCAGTCTTTGTCGTCAGAGAGGCTCCTACATAACTCGCTATGCTGACAAGCCTTAGCAAGAAGCCCTCTGAAACCGACCCTTTGTCTGCAGGAATCATGTTCACAACTGTGTTAACAACACGCCGGTGCCTTTCCAGCGCTGCTTCGCTTTCTTTAACTGAGAAACCTGAATGGCTTTTTGATTTGAAGTATGGTAACCATCGACAGGTGTATACGTGCAAAGCTTCACCAATGAGCTGAGGCGGCAACGTGAAGCTTGACCTGGCTGCTGTGATAATACAGCGGAATAAGTCCAAGTCCAGGTCTGATATGTCCTCCGTCCACCAGTCTCTTGGCACAGAGTGATGTTTTCTCTTTTGGTAGCCTGGTCTGGTGTATGTGTGAGACCAAGAGACCTACAAAACGAAAAGAGAGATCAAATAGATGTGCAAGAACCAAGAACATCATCTGGACTCAAATATGAACACACCTCTGCAGTGGGAGTGAGGATCTTCTCCACAATGGAATCTATACACTTTCTGATGATTCCAAGATTCTCACACCATTCAGGCAATTTGGCAGTGGACTGCAACGTGACGATGGAGTCTTTCCAGCCTTGAAGAACGCATGAGTGGAAAAAGGATTCAAGCTTCGGTAACAGGTTTCCCTTTTCAACAGAGTCAGACATCCGAAGAAACTTGGAGGCGCAGAGGGCATCCACAAGGTTATGAGCACTGAGGTTGATGGTGATGCCGTAGCAGAACTTAGCACAAAGCTCAAACGCATCGGCTCCTCCAGGTATGTCATTCAGCTCTATGGTAACACTATCAGATTCCTCTGAATCAGTACAAAGCCTTCGCAACAGTCCACATTTTGGAACAAGAGAAGACTGCAAACAACATTAAAACCACTGAATAACATACATGATACATGTTGTTTGTAAAGACTAGTGAAACATACTCTGTGGAGATGGTAATTGGTGTTGTTGATTCTAATAAAAAGATCGTTGGGTGAGTCAGTTATCACAATCCTGCAGTTTTTTAATATATCTAATGAGAGAGATGTGATTTAGGAAATTTAGAGGCAGAGAGATAGAGGAACAAACCTTGAAGCCTCTTGAGTATAGAAAGTGTCAGGCTTTGTACCGATCTTCATGAACTTCATCTTAAACTTCTCTGCGTTCAAGAGGAACATATGATGAGAAAGTAAACAAAAAAAATAAAGAGAAATAGAAAGGAAGAGAATTAAAATATTCAAGCTGAAATTTGATTCATATATATTTTAGCAAATGAGTAAATCACACCTGTAGGTTTATGTACAAACTCTTGAAGATAAAGCAAAAGGATGATTGATTTACAAGACTGGTGTGCTCAAAGGTTGATGATGTGTGAGAGGAGGAAGAAGGAGAAAGAGATGGTTAAAGCAATAAAGAGAGAGTGGTAATGATCAAATTGTCAAAAAAGTGTTTAGTGAGATTAGATCCCAAGAGAGAGAGAATTGAATGGTAAACAAGGGTCCCGGCCTCGTCACTTGTTGCTCCCCGCATGGACTAACCCTTTAAAATGGTGTCTGATATGAATTTTCCTTCACACTTAATTATGGTTTGAAAATAAACACCAGATTAATTGGCACACATACACATATAGGTATACCATTTAGCAGCTATGAGTTGGAGTCTGTGACTATGGTCTGCTTTGGAGTTGAGAAAAAAACGAATTCAGTTACTAGAGGTGGGCAAGTGAAGCAAGTTAAGTATTCACATCCAAAAACTGAAAAGATAGACACAGGTGTCCTTCATGCATTACATTTTTTTGCACAAGCAAAACAAATTCTCACCAAACAGAAATAAAGTGAACACACAAAAGTGGGTGTTCCACCTTTCCCTACTACAATTAATTGAAAGTGAGATTACTCTTATTTATAAATACAATGGACCACCACCCTATATAACTAGTAGTAGGGAGTTGGGTAGGCTTAATACAAAAGAGAGTTATAATCAAAGCAAACTTGGCTGCAGCACTTATCTTTATATTATTTGTCATAAAGCAAATCCCAAAGCAAAGATGCATGGATCCCCAGATGATACCTTCCCTCTTCAGACACAAACTTTAAAGCAGCAGAGCCAGATTACTATTTGTACTGTACCAAGGGTTTTAGTTTTTGTCCATATCCTCTGTGGAATCTCTGTTGTTGTGGGGGAAGGGGGAAGTCAACCCACATCATTAGTGTGCTATTTTAATAATGCAAAAAGGCAAAAGGTGAAATAAGACTGGGAAGAGAGGTATTTGAGTAGAAATGTCCTCTTCTGATGGGATTTGTCTGCCTTGAGGAGAGAATTGTAAGTCACTAATGGTCAAATTCCATTGCACTCCATCTCTACTGGCCCTACTTTCTGTACTCCCCAAACTATTTGTAATGACTAGTTAAGATTCAACTAGAATGAGCAGGCTCAGGCTCCTATCAAACAAAATCTCAGTGTTCTAAACTTATAACACAAGACAATGGGCCTGGGCTTAGTGCGCCATTGCTTGCTTCCATTGGATATACAAAGAGGAAAACAACATTACCAATTACCCTGGAATGGGATGTAGACAATAGAAGAGTAGCTTAAAACTCGTTTCAAAATCAGTCAGTCACCAAACAAATCATCGTTATCATCATCATCTTTGTCATCAACTCCTCCACGTTTAGTTTCTTCTTTATCTTTAGCCACTGGTTCACTCACAGAAGAAGCCCAAGAAGTACCAACCGCCTTGGTAAGTGAATCACCACTGTAAAGATCATCATAAATCCCTCCTTTTGGACCTCCTTTTAACTTCTTCATCGCTTCCTGTAGTCTATCAGTCACACCTCTGTTCCCCGCAAAACCTTTCTCTTCCTTCCCTTTACCTTTCGGTATCAACGTCACTTGCACCATTGATTCATACTTCCCAACAAGACTCCCTTCTTTAACACCAATCGGACCAGGCTCAGTCTCCACGTCTGCTCCATCAGACATCCCAACAACCTCAGCAAGCTCTCCTCCTAGTTGATCCCTGAAGCTAACTCTTAGCTTCTTCATCCTCTTCTTACTCACCCCACCTTCTCCTTCACTCTTCTCTTTCCTTTTTCCCAACACACAACCAGATTCTTCTCCATTGCTTAAACCGTAACGATTGAGTAAAGTATTGTACGCAACAACAGCTTCCTCGTCAGAAGCATCAGGAGGAGGTGGAAGCTTGATCTCATCTCTAGGAGGAGGCCGTGTAAAGAGAGCCTCACTGTTCTTCCTCAAAATATAAATTCTAGTTGAGGCAGCAAAACGTAAAGATTGACCCACTTCAAGCTCTACAGGAGTATCTTTCGTTAACCTCTCGTTTGCAACAAAGGTTCCATGAGCTGATCCCAAATCAATCACAAAGATACTACAAATAAAAAAAAAACAAGACTTTTCTTACAAATAGACACAACACAAAATCCCCTAAAGTCAAAAATTCAACAAACCTGCCGTTCTTGTGAGGAACAACAACAGCGTGTTGACGAGAAACAGACTGATGATCAAGAACAAAGTCACAAGTCTGATGCTGTCTTCCGAAGATATGTCTCCGTCTGTTGAGATGAATCCGATCAAGGATCTGTCCGTCTTTCACAACTTCTAGTGAGTAGACACCTGCACGAGGCTCAATGGCCCAATCTGGAGGATGCCACGTTGACTGACTAGCTCCGATCTGAGTTTGCGCCGCCGATGGAGATGGAGATGGTGTCGTCTCGGGGGGAACGCGTTGAAGTTGGGGCTTCGCTGGGGGGTTTGTTGATAGGGAGAAGGGTTCGGAAGTTTGAGATTTTTTAAATCTTTCGAGACCTGATCTTCCGTACATTGTTATTTCTGTAACTTGAATCGAAAGTAGCAGTCTTTATCTCTTTCATATGATCTTCAAAAGACAGGGATGGAACATTTTAGGGTTTCTTTTGGTTGTCTTGTCCTAAAGTTCTAACCCAGAAAATTAAATTTGTGAACTTAGTCCCTGTATTTTATGTTTTCTCCCAAATACGGTTCATAGTTACAATTGCACATATTTGTCCTGATTCCATGTCTACAAGTAATATTAAAATGAAATACATACAACATTGAGTTGATAACCATTTCGAAACTCTGTTCCAAAAAAAAAAAAAAAAAAAACCATTTCGAAAGTCTAAAACCTCACTTCATAAACATAAACATGTATTTTGTAGTATCTTTGGGATTTTATATTTTTCTTCAGTTTTGTTTTGTTTTTTGTAATTATAACTACTTTTGTAGCCTATATTCTTGAGCTGAAAATAAATAGTTTTAGCTTTCATAAATTAATGAAAAAGTCTTAACATTTTTAAAAAATGGCAAGAAATAAAATTTAAAATAAATAGAAGAGTAAATAATAACATCAGATTAAGAAATAAGGCAGGTTTATTCCCACTGAAATCAGGAGCACTCAACAGAATTACCCAAATCACCAAATAAGAATCAAAGACATAACAGGAAATTAAGAAAGCTTAGACTACTTCTGTCTCTTGTAGATCTTAGCCAAGAAGGATTTTAGCACTGCTTGGATTGCTTTACTTTGGTGACCCTCAATCACTCCAATCAACTTCTCGTAGCTTTTGCTCTCATACTCCTTGAACACTCCCTATTATATTCACAAACATCAAACCAGAACCAGTTAACAGAGCGCAGAGCATATGCTAGTTGTGTAATAAATACATCATATCTTTGAGGTTCCATTAATTTCGAACCTCAAGGTCAAGCTCTTTGTAGAGTTCCTTCACTTTAGCAACGTTTGATGGGTCAGGTTTACCGTAGTTCTCCTAGAATATCACAACAAAACTTCTTTCAGGCTCCAAACAAGAAACAAAACCATATGAAATAAAACACAAGATTCTTACATATAATATCTCGGTTTGTTCTTTGCTGCAGCGTTCCAATGCCTTAACCACCAACCAGGAGCATTTGAAATCTTCTATATCCGTTCCTATCTGTATTTTCAAAACGTTCCAATATATTTGCGTCAAGTGAGCACATCAATACAATCAGATAAATCTAAAAAAACAAGCGTTTGCAGGTGTTCAAACCTTGCCAAGTGTCTCGGGGTCAGCAAAACAATCCAGATAGTCATCCTACAGAAAAGAAAAACAAATATCAACTTGCTGACATTATCCTATCAGATGGCTTTCATGAATACTTAAGCACTAAACTCTACCTGCACTTGGAAGTAGATCCCCATGTCAACGAGAACATTCTTCACATCCTCATGGTTTTCCAAATTCTCGCCAGCCATTAGCAACGCACAAGCAACCTAAGGAGAAAATCACAGCTCGTTATACAAGATCTAAGCACATGGTCGCTCTTTCACTGTGGAACCTAAGTGTGAGAATCAATACTCACAGGGAGATAAAATGAGTAGTAAGCCGTTTTGTACTGGACAATACGCCGGTGACTGCATGTTTAAAACCATTTCATCACTCAGAAATTTGACTACCCTTCATTTGATCATCCATTAGTTACAGATCACTCCAATATATATTGAAATGCCCACACTTTTCGACTCACATAGGTAACGAGTACTTGCCCAAATCCTTTTCTCCTTCAAAGGTGGTGATCAGATCTATCATCTGGCCACAAGCTGTTTGAAACTCTACCTAAACAGATCAACAGAAATAGACTAGAATAATTAATTAATTACCAAGGCTTCACTTGTGTAAAAAAAACAAATAGATATTACCTCATTAAAGAGATCAACAAGGTCAACATAGAAAGGCTTTCCACGGAAGTGCTTTTTAAGAATCCTGTGGATGTGATTGCGAAGTAGAATCCCATCATTAATAGCAACCATACCAACCTGAAACACATTTATGGACTCTTGAATGTTCTGGCCTGAGATAATAAATATTATGATAAGAGACACAAACCTTAGGAACTCTGAACCAACAAGGCTGCCCACGTCGAGTGACAGAGTTATCCATAATGTCATCAAGCACAAGAAAATAAGCTTGAAGCTACAAAGACAATGAACATAGTCAGAAAGAGAGTCAAAGAGGGTATCTATAAAGATTGAGTCTTTGCATATACCCATTCGATACACCAACCGAGAGCACAAGAGAGAAAAATCTCTTCCTCCGTCAACTCTTTCCCTTCCTTCAAAAGCTTGAAGCTGTCCACAACGGAGAGACCTCGGTTAAGCTTCCCTGGAGAAGAAAAACAAAACATCAGAATCAAAGAAAATGCTTAGAGAGAGAGAGAGAGGGGAGATCATCACTCATCACCTCCAGGTACATTGTAATCAAGCATCTGCAAAAAGAAAGACAGTAAATGATCAGAATAGGATCTGATGAGGGAGTAAAGAAAAGGAAGGAAAAAAAGAGAGTACCTTTTCAACCCAGAGACGAGATTCATCGGTGAATTCGAAGGAAGGGTCGTGAAGGAGTTCGGACTTGAGGGTGGAATAAACGTCGAGGAAGGTTGACTTTAGATCCGCCATTAATAGATGATGTGAAGAAGAGGAAGAGGATGAAAGGTGTGTGCTTTGGATACGACGATGATAGAGACTGCCTGTAGTGCCCACACGGATCAGATGCAAATGGACAGCCTTTATCGCTCGTCCCAGATTCTTACAACTACTCGATCTCATTCCGGTTTTTTTACCCAAAATACCCTTTCTTGTTTCTTCTTATTTACCATTTCTGCCATTCCCCAAGACACTCGGAGTTGTTGTTTGTTCTCCCACTCTTACTTTAACACTTGTAAGAAAGGAGAAAAATGTTTTTTTTTCCTTTTAATTGTTAAGATAGTGGCCGAGAGAAGCCCAAATCATAAATGGGCCTTTCTAAACCCAATGGCATTAGTGCTCTGGTATGTTATTAGACTATTCAAGGCTCTAGAGTGCTCAAATAGCCAGACTATTTACTAAACTCTTGTCTTCCTATCAGATTATTCCTTTTTCAAGTTTTCCAAGCCAATAGGGTCGACATCTATTTCCCCACGAGAAGTATCGTATAGCACCAAATGTCCACAAAACTATGACCCGTTCTATTTATCCCTGAGAATAAAGTTCGAAATATATTTCCACACCAAATTAAAGTTATATCGATATTTCTCCACAGTTATAAAGAACGAAATCTAAAAACCCACAAAATCGATTTTTATTGGTTTACTGTTTGTAAACAAACCATAGACCATGTTAAGCCAATAACTAACCGGATTGAGATTCAACAAGTCGTATATTTTTAAGTTCGAAGGTTGGGTCAGATTATTGTTCTGATCCAAGTCAGGGTTTGGTCGGGTTTTTAATTTTGTCTTAGTTTAGTTTTGCTTGGTTTTATTATATGAGAGTGAAGATTCGAAATTTGGTTTTCATAAATCATAACTAAACCAAATTTGGTAGAAAAATAGATTGTGAATTTTATTATCGGGGATAAATAGAACGGGGTTATAGATTGTAGACCCAAGCCAATACAAGTCAACGGAGATATGTGAGCAAACGTTTACTGAACTGACAGTGATTAGGCTTGTCAAAAAAATAAAACAGGGGTGCCAAGTGAATCTAAACTACTAGACGAGAGCAACAAGATTAAACCAGACTATTACACAAGCATGGTCTCTGATATCATTAAATTGATGGAGCCCTCTAGTAAGTAAAAGGACATCATCATCTTGTTTTACCCTGAAAACAGTTGTAACTTATGTCCTGTCATTGCGTACGGCAAAGATGAAAGTTTATGATCTGTTTGCTCTCTTTTGTTAATAATCAATCTGGTGATCCACCCATCATCAGAAAAACATGGCCTGATGGCTCTACTGAAAGCATGAGCTGAACACATTTTGTTATGTTGTTTTTTGTATAAAGATTTTGAAGTAGGTGAAGAGTTTAAAAAAATGATCGAATAGCAAAACAAGGTTCCCGTTTAGAGTCGTAAAAGTACTCCATGCGTCCAAAAACACAGCCTGGTTTTTACAGGACATAGGCGTTACTCTATAGTGTAATATTATATAGTCCTTTTTAGACTGTTTGGTCCAGAACCATGTGAGGCGTATTGAAAATAGAAATTTATGGTCATTATCGAGGAACACAGATCTCTTGAGTTTGAGATTTAAAAAAAAAAAAATAGGTTCCAGTCCAAACTGCATGTGATGTAATTGTCAGCGAATATTCCGCTAACTGCAAAAGTTTAAACAACTAATGATATATAATGAACTTCATCTTTATTTTGTCTGTTTCTGCTGTGTTTCATCGTGTGTGACTAAGAGTACAATAGGTATGGGGGCAATGGCAGTATATCTCATGATTTGAGTTTCTCATGTTGTAAGGAACATAATGAGGGAAAGTGAGTACAAATCTTAATCTGCTTTTTGCATGCCTTGTTTTCTCTTCTCAAAAAGTCATTAATGCTTACAAGACCTACTAACCATAGCTCTAATTATCTGCATTAACGTAATTCATCATCATTTGCAAAAAAAAACATTTGTGAAAATAGTCCAATAAATTTGGCGCTTAAGGTTTCTGATCTGCTAAGGCCCGGGTCTAATCAATGGGATACTAATTTATTACAGCAGACTTTTACACCTCAGGATGCCCAAAGAATATCTCTTTTGAAACCATCTCTGGTTTGCGAGGATTCGGTCAGATGGGGTTTCACACCAAATGGCTCATATTCAACTAGAAGNGTGAAAATAGTCCAATAAATTTGGCGCTTAAGGTTTCTGATCTGCTAAGGCCCGGGTCTAATCAATGGGATACTAATTTATTACAGCAGACTTTTACACCTCAGGATGCCCAAAGAATATCTCTTTTGAAACCATCTCTGGTTTGCGAGGATTCGGTCAGATGGGGTTTCACACCAAATGGCTCATATTCAACTAGAAGTGGTTATAAGTTATTAGAGGTGGTAGTGGATTACGATCACCCTCAGGGACATTCGCTTACCCCTATTGAAAAGAGATTATGGCGAGATTTGTGGAAAATCAAAGCTCCACCAAAAATAAAACATTTTATGTGGCGGGCGTTATCGGGTGCTTTAGCTGTTAAACAACGTTTGACTACTCGGGGTATTCCGATCGATCCTACATGTCCTGTTTGTGGTACTGCGGATGAGACTATATGTCATGTTCTTTTCACATGTGTAAAAGCACGTGCCACATGGGATCATTCTAATGTCCAATTACCTTTAGGAGGTTTCTCTGGAAATTCCACATTTTTAAATTTTGTCCATTTACTGAAGATTACTAGAAAAGCAACTTCGGATATCCATACCAAAAACGTTTTTCCCTGGTTGTTATGGGAAATATGGAAAGCTAGGAATTCTTTTGTTTTTAAAAATCAGGTTCTTGATTCTTCCTTCATTGCTACGCGAGCATATGAAGAAGAATCCACATGGTTTGATACTTTCTCAGGCTCGAAGGTTGATGTGGTTGATATTGACTTAGAACAGGTTCGATGGATAAAACCGCCTAATGGATCCCTAAAATGTAATGTGGGATCCTCATGGATTAATCCAAATCAGCCGAGTGGTGCAGCATGGATTCTCCGCGATGCTAATGGAAACACGATCATGCATAGCCGCCGGGCCTATTCCTACATGCGTACAAAAACCGAGGCCGACATGTGGGCTCTTTTTTGGGCAGTGGAATGCTTGCACAACTTACATTTCTCGAATATCATTTTGGAGACTTCCTCGGAGTGCTTACATGACGCTTGTATGAATCCAAATGGAAATCTCAGCCTCAGCCACATCCGTCNATATCGCTCGGAATGCTCCATCGTGGCTTCATCACTTACTCGCTTTGGAGGCAGTGTAAGAAAGGGTTTGTAAGCTCCTCCTCTTTTCCCTCTTTGATGGTGTCTTCTGACATCTTATTTCTTTGTCTTTTTTATGTCTTTTGTATCATTTTTTCGTTTCGACGAACCTTGTACTCTCTTAGTGTTATAAAAAAAAAAACAATTAAAATGTGTAAATAGGTTACACTTTCTCTTCACGTAATTACCCGTGACGCATGGCATCACTACATATTGGTCAAAGTTTTAACGTTTCTAGATCCAAATTTAGGGTTCAAAGATTGAATTCTGCAGAAAATAAAAAAAAAACTTATAAAAGATTTCAGTATGGTGCAAATAATATCGTAATAAATAGATCTTATAAAACAGTTCAGAGTGATGCAATCAGACGTGAATCCGTAAACGACAGGTAAAATTGTCGGTTGTAATATTAATTATTTTTAAAAAACAGTTAAAATGTGAGAATCGTCTTATAAAAAACCAAATATTGAATGAATTGATTGTAAATGATATTTTTATGTTCTAAAATGTATGATGTATTATACTCTAAACATAAATTAAAAATTATGCAACAGCTTACAAAATAGACTATAAAACATCATTAGTACACTTTTTCAATATAATTAAATTTATCTAAAAATGTGAAGACATCTTAGATATTAAAACATCAAAAACTCTTTAAAGATCATACATTATGAAACAGATAGTATGAAACATTTAATTCTTTTGAAAGCGACAAGTTTTAACTTTTTATATGAAATTAAGGGATTTATCATTTATGTAAACTTAAACATTTGTAATAATCATTCAACTTTCTTTTTCATTCTTTCCTTCAGCATTAAATTCCTATATCTCGATTTTCTTTCTTTCTAACTTCTTTTCTTTTTGGTATCCAAATACGGATATTGAGAAACTGATGCAATTAAAGAAGCTCATTTAATTCTATTTCAAAAAGACAAAAACAAAAATTCAAAAAATAACAAAAGCGAAAGGTATTATCTTGTAATTTAGCTTTTTTTTTCATTTTATTTTAATTATAACAAGGCTTTGGCTTGTGACTTTTAGATCCTCTCTCCGGGTTCTTGTCGTGTCTATCCGGCGAGATGAACACAACACAACACACTAGTGTAGTTGAAGTGATCATCAAGTGCATGTACTTGTAATAACACGAATCAAGCAAACAACTACTTTTCTTGTCTCCACTTCGAATCTTTGTCTGCTTCAATCCACACCCAAGGTATCTCCTTCCTTCCTTCTCCCTTTCTAGGGTTTCTCCTAAAGTTGCTTCCTTTTGCTTGTTCCCAGATCTCCTCTGTCTCTTAGCTCTTCTCATTTGGGATCTGCTTTTTAAGTTAATCAAAGAAACTCCTTTTTGTGGTTATTGATCTCTGTGTTCTTGTTCTGTCTAATTGATTTTTATGATCCAAATAGGGTTTTGAAGAGATGTGCTGAATCTATTTTGCATCACGATGTCGTCCACTCGAAAGCCTAGTAGTCATGGAGCTGAAGCTGAACCTCAGAAACGCTCCTCTTCAAATAGTAACACTAAGTTAGCTGAGCCACTGCAGTTACCTAAATCAGTAACAAATCCAGCTCCTGCAGGAGCTCCAGAGAGCAAAAGGTTACCTGAGCCATTTAAGAAGCGATCTGTTGATCCTAAACCTGATTTCACCTCCTTATCCACCGTTCTTGAACACGTAGATTCATTGACTATCGACAGCAATGACCAGGAGAAGAAAACATCAGGCTCTGTCTCTGCTAAAGTGAGTGATGGTACTAGCAGTCTTGGAAAGACAAGTGGAAGCGCCAAGCTTAGTGGAAGCCGTTTAGATTTCATGGAGAGTGGTAAGAGCAGTATCTACAGAGGAAGCACAAGCAGTGATGTGAGCGATGAGAGTAGCTGCAGCAGCTTTAGCAGCACTGTCAACAAACCGCATAAAGCTAATGACTTGAGCTGGGAAGCGATCCAGGCTGTTAGAGCTAGAGATGGGGTTTTGGGTCTGAGCCATTTTAGGCTACTTAAGAGGCTAGGGTGTGGAGACATAGGGAGTGTTTATCTCTCTGAGCTGAAGGGGACAAAGTGTTACTTTGCAATGAAGGTTATGGATAAGACTTCTCTTGCTAGCCGTAAGAAGCTTCTTAGGGCTCAGACTGAAAGAGAGATTCTTCAGTCTTTGGATCATCCTTTTCTCCCTACACTCTACACTCATTTCGAGACTGAGAAATTCTCTTGCCTTGTGATGGAGTTTTGTCCTGGAGGAGACTTGCATACTCTCAGGCAACGCCAGCCTGGGAAGCATTTTTCTGAGCAAGCGGTGAAGTGAGTCATCATCCTTTCCTTCAAGCCATTTGCTATATATCTCTTGTTCTTAGCTGACTTAAGTGTTTTTGTTTTTTAAATGTGTTGGTAGGTTTTACATAGCAGAGTCATTGCTAGCTATTGAGTACCTGCACATGTTGGGGATTGTGTACCGTGACCTCAAGCCTGAGAACGTTCTAGTTCGAGAAGATGGACATATAATGCTCTCTGACTTTGACCTCTCACTCCGTTGTCTCGTCAGCCCCACTCTAGTCAAATCTGCTTCCATTGAGTCTGATCCGTTACGCAAAAACGTTTACTGTCTTGAGCCCTCCTCTTGCATCCAACCGTCTTGCACAGTCCCCACCACTTGCTTCTCTCCACGTCTGTTCTCAAGCAAGTCTAAGAAGGAGCGTAAGTCCAAGAACGACACAGCAAATCAAGTTAGGCCATTGCCAGAGCTGGTAGCTGAGCCAACCGATGCACGTTCCATGTCTTTTGTGGGCACGCACGAGTACTTGGCTCCAGAGATTATCAAAGGTGAAGGGCATGGGAGTGCAGTGGATTGGTGGACTTTTGGGATATTCTTGTACGAGCTTCTCTTTGGGAGAACTCCTTTCAAGGGCTCAGGAAACAGGCAGACACTGTTCAATGTGGTTGGTCAGCCTCTACGGTTCCCTGAGTCACCTGTTGTTAGTTTTGCAGCTAGAGACCTTATCCGTGGCCTGCTCATGAAGGAGCCACAGCAGCGACTGGGGTTCAAAAGGGGAGCTACTGAGGTTAAGCAGCACCCGTTCTTTGAAGGTGTGAACTGGGCTTTGATTAGGTGTGCTACTCCACCTGAGATCCCAAAGCCTGTTGAGCTGGAGAGGGGACCTGTGAGTGTTGCAGAGTCACCATCGAGCCAGAAGACAGCAGCAGGTTTGGTTCTGAATGCTCAGAAAGGGTCTGATAACTATTTGGAATTTGATTTCTTCTAGTGTTTAAGGCTAAGAGATATGGATATGGTACTACTCTCTATTCTTCCCTATAAGACCATGTGGTGAAAGATGATTATGCTATTCATAGATTGGCATGAAACTGTATGTTTGTTTCTCTACGCTTAAATTTCTCTAGTTTATAAGTGTTTGTAACTTTTCATAACCTTATTAGTTTTGATGGTAGCATCTTTTTTTACACCATCTATCCAAACACAGAACATAACAAACAATGTATTGTATCTGCATCTTAGTCTCTCATTCCACTAACTGCTAGCTTTGGGCTTACTAAAGCAAATCCAACCAAAAGGGTCGTTGGAATCATCTTTCTTCGGCTCCAGCTGTATTGAGGGCTTGAAGGGGGTTCTCTCCGTCACAGGCTTTTCCATCTCTATCACTTTTCCTTGGCATATGACTTTAACCTCACACGTTTCTGCTGCAGGGCTTCTCAGTATCTGTTCAGCAACAGTGTTTCCTTTTAATGACTTTGCTTTCCTACAAGAAAGGGAGTTAGAAAGGTTGTCATGTTATCTCAGGTAACTAAAAGAGTTGTGGGAATCTTCTTGTATATATGTAGATGCATACTTTGCATTAGACTTGTCGATCCCTAGAACAAGCTGCTTAATGTTAAGAATGGAAATGAGGTCTTGTATAGCCTTTGCCACCGAGTCACTCTCAACTAGTACTGTCTCTACCTTCACCTGTTTTGTGTTCAAGCTCTCATATGTTAGTTCACTAACTATTAATCAATACCGAGAGAAGGAGAGAAGAGATGGGACCTTAGAATCAGAGCAGGCTCGAAGAAACTTGTTCAACAGAGTTCTTCTCTTCTCTCTTTCCTGAGACATAAAGGCTTCAAGTTGTTCCTGACTTGCCTGCTCCTTCGCTAGCCTCCCCACTACACGGAGATCATACATACATACACACTTGAGTTTCAGACACACAATAGATTTTAGTAAACATCAGAGTCAAAGAAGGACATATACAGACAAGGGTAAGGGATGAAGTGAGTCTCAGGAAAGACATGGACGAGGAAAAGAAGAGTAGAGGGAGAAGAGGAAGAAGAAGAAGTGATGAGATTGGCAAGAGCCCAAAGTAATGCTTCCATGCTTGAGTCTCCTTTACCAACTCCAACATAGACGTTGTCTTCTCCGGTCAAAAACACTGTTCCACTGGTTCCTTCAAACGGGCTCTCTGGCACGCTCTCGAGTCCTCCTCTTCCATATCCTTCTTCTTCATCTTCTTCTATTTCATTGTTCCACCGTTGCATTTTCTTTGTGGTTGACTTTGTGGCTCTTTGTTGTTCCCTCTCTACCCTATCAAACCGTACTTTTCTTTAATTTATATATGAAATCTTCATGTGTTTTGTGAAAGTCTGAATTTTCCAAGACATTTAAGACATTTAACCTCTTACATATCATGACCACCATGTACAAGGTTTTTTCAAACGTCTGTGTCAATTTAGAAATCAATATCCCCTATATATTAAAAAAGAATCATTTAAAAAATTGTAATCATAAATTTGTAATAATTAAAATTAATCTCAATCCTATGTGTCATAGCTCTTTGTCTTCTATTTCAATATAGAAGGATTCTAGAACATGCAATATAATGTATATTCTAAAAATTATACTCTCTACCAATATAATATTTCGTAGGCTATAGTTGTATAAAATAATTATTGTTTCGCAGGCTTTCCTTAAATAAAACATACGGAATTACCTAATGTGATTAAAATATATATATGACAATTAATGATTTTAAACAATAAAAATTTGATAACAATATGTATACTCTTTATCATTTTGTTTATTTCTTTATTATTAAAATAAATTACAAAATTACATTAATTATATAATAAAAATCTAGATTTTTTTGTGTGTGTTGTATTTTGAATTTTTCAAAATGAGTATAAATTACTAAAACTGTTAAAAATCTCACATAAAATTTTACGATCAAGGTTTTAAATTTTTCTATATTAAAATATAATGATTAGAAGACCATATGAAGAAATAATTTTATTTTATATATATTTCATATCGTTTAAATTAAAGTATACATCATATTAAAATACATACTTATATTTTGATATTTGCATTGAATATATATTGAAAAGTTAATATTTTAATTTTTAAATATGTCATTTTTTAAAAAAAATGATTATAAATTATTGAAACTACTAAACATCCCACATTAAAAAAATTCATTGGTATAAAGTTTTCTTACACAAATATGCAAATAATCACAAAATCATATGAGTAGAAACCTCATTTAATAAATATCCATATCAAAAGTGTGCTATATTACGATGTTTATATCATTTAAATTTAATTATATATCATATACAATATACAAGATTGATTATTTTTATTTATTTACCCTAATTGCGAATAAACAAAAGTGATAGTTAAATTTATATGCATACGCCAATTTATTACATAATAGCAATTGTTTTCTTAGTTATTTAATATATATATTTATTATTTTATAATATGCAAAAAAATATAAAATAAATAATAAATATAAAATACTTATTCTGCATAAAGTGAAGATTTTAAACTAAGTATGTATCTCTTTAATTGTTTTAAATCTTAAGTATTTATTGAATCCCAGGTCAAAACAAACAAAGGAAATGTGAATAATTTCAAGACCAATATTTATATCGAGTAATAACCAAAATAAAAAATAAAACACAACAAAAGAAAAAAATTGAAGATAAATAGAATTGACTCGTGAACGTACACTTCTCATAGTAATAATTAATTTTTAAATTGTTAAATCATGATATAAAACTGAGTTAATTTTTAATTTGTTAATTTTTAAAATCATTATGGTTATATTAAATCATGACCATAATTAATTGTAAATTGTCATTTGTATTTGAAAAACTTTAAAAATATGGTTTTTAAAAATAATTTAAAATTTAACTTAATTTTTTATAATTTTTTATTTTAAAGTAATTTTTAAAAAATAATATTTTCTAATATTATTAGAAAAATAAATAAATTATATTAAATTAGTTTTGAAACTTTATATTTTAAATGCAACTATTTTATCAACTGCTTCTTAAGAAATCACTAGATTTTGACTCGCGCTTGAAAAGCGCATAAATTTTTTATGATTAAAAATTTATATAATTGGGTTTTGTCTTAATTTAAAGAATATTTTGATATAAAATCAGTTCACGAAATTTTTTGGTGATGATTATTTTTCATTAGTTTTTAGTTTCAGTTTTTATTTTTAGATTTTGGTTTTTGGTTTTTAGTTTTTAAGTTTCTACTTTTCATTTTCAGTTTTTGATTTGAGTTTTTAATTTTTAAACCCGCTGAGTTAGTTTGAACTAATATTACCAACAAATAAATCTCAAATAATCGAACATCTAATTTAAAACTGAAAAGATGATAACAAACTTTTAAAAAAAAATTTGAAATAGTTTATTTTGTAAATAAACAAAGCAAAAAAATATAACATGTGTTTTCAAATTTTGGTTTTGGAGTTTAGTTTTTAGATTTTGTTTTTGGTTTTGCTTTATCTTTTTTTAATCAGTAAATTATTTAAGAAAAATAAAACAATAAATTATTTAAAAGTTACCATTGATATTTATCAAAACAAAGTGATTGTTATTTAAAATAAAAAATATATTAACATGTTTTAAAGTACATGATTTAAAAATGATTAATAATAGATAATTTTGTTTTGTTAAAAATATTAAATACCTTTGGGTCTGAAAATAATAATTGATTTTTTGATCTTTTAAGGTGAAAAGTTTATTCAATGTTTTTGGAGTTTTTTCTTAATACTTATCCTAAAAACCAAACTATATAATTTGTTCAAAAAATAAAAGTAAGTCCAAGACTATATTCCATAAATAACCACTGGTTTAATTTATGTATAATTAGTAGATTTCCATATTCCATATTTTTGATGATATATATTCTTTTAGAACATTCCATATTTGTAGGAGAAAATATGTGTTTTCGGTATACATATAGATACCTGCCGTATTTTGAATGTAGTTTAACATTAAGGTCGTTTTTTTACATTAATTGTGTTGGTTTAATTTAAGTAATGCGGTTCAATCAATTATATGACTTATATTATTTGTAACATTCTAGAAAGAGTCCAAATTTAAACGACAACTTGTATCAGTAGATAAAAAAAATGACTCTATTTTAATAGAGTAGATTAGGGAATTTACTAATACTCTACCAATCAATCCAGTGACACTCCGTTTATTTTCCATCATTCGAGCACTGAAAAGTGAAAAGATATATGAAATCATGTCCATTAAATTCTAAGCTTGAATCTACAGTTCTAATTACAATGGTTTCTGATCTTACATATAGATAATTATATAAAATTCCAAAATTCTAAAATTTCAAATACATATAAAACAATCATATATAAATTTAAATTTGTCAATACTAAAATTTTATATTTTAATTACATACATTTACCATGCGAAAGACGCAAGTTTTATCCTAGTTCTATAAAGAAAACAAATCATATAAGAACAAGGTTATTACCATACTACCCTATACTACAACTATACATTCTTTTATTTAATTTACTATACATTATTTTATTTAATTTCTAACTTTAAAAACAAATTATTATTATTATTACTTTTTTGCTGAAATTTGGTGACAAATTATTCTTGGTCAAGAATATTCTGTATTGAAAACAAATCACGTTGAACGTTGATTATTGGCAACTGTTGATCGAATATCCGAATCCCCAAGCAAGAATCTTTATGATAATATATATAAATAACTTTCTGAGCTGTTGCGAAAAAAAGAAGCAAACCTTACACATCAAAGAGCCGAAGACTATAGTTGTTTGTGTCTTTAATTTGTTTGGCTTTTTGGATTGCAAATGACAATGAAGACTTTTCTGTGAGGTAGGCATGTTTTGCCATACAAAGAAATTGACCTTTGATCAACACATAAAACCAAACTCATTCATGCCATATCCCCCGGCCCCAAAACCCTCTTTTTCTAACGTTTTGATCTTATTTAAAATAAGTTATTTTACCTGAAGAAATGGACATTAAATTAAATATAATTCAATCATAGTTTCTATAAAATATAAAGGTTGCGTCGAAATATAAAAATAGTTTATATTTTAAAATAACAAGTGTATTTTTAAAACAATTTAAATTATCAAACATGGTATACTAATCAACTAACTGAGAAGTGTTTCAAAATAAAAACATTTCTGGAAAAGACAACTTTGAATAGTTGACTTAAAAAAAAAGAACAAAAAAAGACCAAACTATAGATATCTCAATATATCATCATCCCATCTTTTAATATTTTTCACTCATTAAAAAAAAGTTCAAGACTTGTGCTTATTGACCCACAACCACAAGAGATGGAAATCATATGAGAACTGGATTTGATTATTCAACAGACAATGAAAATTTTCTGAAGCTGCTTCTTTAATTGTTGTTAAGACTTTGTAGGTAATAAAAGACAGGTCCTAATCAAAAGTAGTTATCTTCTTAAAGACGAGTTTAATACACGTTAGTTGTTTTTTTTTAAAGTGTATATTTCTGTTAGTTGGGTGTTTTCTGCTTCCTACCACCTCATTGACCTTTAATGATGGCCTCATAGTTTGGTGGTCTCTGCCAAGTGACCCAACAAAAAAAGTAACTCAAAAAAAAAAAATTCGATCTTGGAGATTTTACTTTTGTCGGCAACTCTGTCTGGTTGTGGCAGAAGTGAACAGAACCCAATGGAGGTCGTTTCGGAAGAAGAAGTCATTGATCAATTCCATGAGCTCATAGATAAAGGTTTGACATTTTCATCTTTACCTCTTTCTGTTTCTACTTTTATTTTCTATGTCAATTAATTACTGAATTTGATTACAATCTGTGTACAGTTGAGGAGCCATTGAAGAAAACATTTGAGGTATGTTGTTTTTTCTTTTCTTTTTGTTGCTTTGTGTTTTGGTTGTTTCTTGAAGTGAAATCAAGTTAAAAGAAACGTAATTTGTGAATCTGCAGAGAGTTCATCAGGGATACCTGAGGGAGAACTTGAGTCGTTTTCTTAAAGCACGTGACTGGGACATGACCAAAGCTCATTCAATGGTATATCTATATTTATCTCCCAAAACACTTCATTGTCTGGTTTTGAGTGTCTGTCTGATTTCAGCGTTTGTGTGATTCACTTTCAGCTTCTTGAGTGTTTGCGTTGGAGGGTGGACAATGAAATTGACAGTATCTTATCAGTGAGTTACTCTTTCTTGGTCTGCAATGTCAGCTCTGTGCTGTGTGACACTATAAGTTATTGGCTTTTGGTTTCTGCAGAAACCCATTGTTCCTAGTGAGTTGTATAGGGCCGTACGGGATTCTCAACTCATAGGAATGTCTGGTTACACGAGAGAGGTAGGCCCCATATGATAGGATTCCTCATTGCCTTCTTTCTGATCAAAGCATATCTTTTCTCAGTTCTTAATTGGTGTTACCTTAATGCTCAGGGCTTACCTGTCTTTGCTGTTGGCGTTGGCCTCAGCACATTCGACAAAGCTTCAGTAAGATGCTTCGTTGTCCTAGTAATTTTCCCAAGTTACACAAATCAAATGAGAAACGTAAATCAAATGTGCTTTCTCTTCGTCCACATACAGGTTCACTACTATGTCCAATCCCACATCCAAATCAATGAATACAGAGACCGTGTACTACTGGTGAGTACATATCAATTAGCTAAACTTTTCTTTTCGGTTTCTTTCTTGCTGTAATGTGTAAAACACTGTCACAGCCTTCTATGTCTAAGAAGAATGGGCGGCCAATCACCACCTGCGTTAAGGTTCTTGACATGACAGGGCTGAAACTTTCAGCACTGAGCCAGATTAAGGTATGATATAGTTCATGTCTAATAATGATACCACAAGTTATACATAAGTTCTTGAATTCATTTTCATACTTCTTTTGATGCAGTTAGTGACTATCATATCAACCATAGATGATCTAAACTATCCAGAGAAGACAAACACTTACTATGTTGTCAACGCTCCATATATATTCTCCGCTTGTTGGAAGGTAAAGCCTTCTTGTTTCTAACTCAAAGCGTTAGCTACTTGGCATTCATGTATGTGTGTATTTCATATCAGGTTGTAAAACCTCTTTTACATGAGAGGACAACGAAGAAAGTTCATGTGTTATCTGGTTGCGGAAAGGATGAGTTATTGAAGGTATAATATGCATTGCTTTCCTTATGATATTGATGTGAGATGCTAATTTTTTAAAATCTTGTGGTTATTGTAGATAATGGACTACACATCTCTCCCACATTTCTGTAGAAGAGGAAGCTCTGGCTCATCTCACCACACTCAGAGTGTAGACTGTTTTTCTGTTGATCATCCCTTTCATCAACAGCTATACAACTATGTGAAGCACCATTATGAGACACAGGGGCAAGCAGAACCTGCAAAGCAAGGATCGTTCCACGTTGGTTTTCCTGAGCCTGAAGCTGAACGTGTTCAGATAGCTAAAACCATTGAATCTGAACTGCACAAGTTTGAGAACTGCAATGGTCTGGGGAAGCCTGATGATGAGAGAAAAGCCAGTCAATGAAAAAACTTGGAAGATGATCAACCCTGAATGCTTCTGAAGGAGTTCTTTTCAGTGCCTTCAAATGAGTAAGTATTGAGGACTGAGCACTTAGCACTGAGCTCATCTCCTTAGCCATGCAAATGTAAAGTGAAGCAAAGAGAATAAAGTCTTGAACTGTATGTACTTCTGGATTCATGTATAGTGTTATTTGATCCTTTTAATAGACATTTGTAGCAAAATTTATGTGGTTTTGGAAAATGTTAAACAAACTCTGAAGAAATCTACCTCCCAATTCACTAAGCATCTGGGTGAGTGGGTAAAGGTAAACATCACTGGCTTCCACAGTTCACTAGGAGTGTATCAATGTTAGTTAACACACTTTCATTGCAGCTCTCAAATACAAAGTTAAGGAGTCTCATGACACACAAACTTAAACAATATACACACTTTGCGTTCTATAACAATAGACACACTTCTCTGACCTGGCAACACGTCAACAAGCTGAAGTCAAAAGAGTTGTACTGAGAAAACATTAGTTGCCATTACATGTTGTGGAACAACGGCAAACGGGTTGCTTGCTACAAAGACCATTACATGTTGCAGTAATCACTAGACAAACGAGTTGCTTGCTACAAACTAACTACCCCCACACATGTAGCATCATAAAATCCCTAATGCTCCTTTGTTCCAGGAGGATCAATAAACTTGATCTTCAACTCAATCTCACCTGATTCAACAGCGCACAGCTTCAGCCACACGCTCTGCACAACCTCCCCGTCTATGCAGCTGATTGTGCTCTCCCGAGATACACAGTTGTCAGAATCCGGCAACACTTTCCTAAGCGTTGTCTCACCAGAGGAGACGCGCACTATATGCCTTAGTCTGGCTACTGAGATAAGCGGTTGAAGGCTGAGAGTAGCATGACCCATCTTGTCATCTGCCTTGAACCTATCTTTATCAAACACTTCCTGCCACATTTACAATCTCAGTATCGTCACCACGATGACCAACCACAAAAGGAATAATAAGAAGATTAAAAGAGCATATACCAAGGCAAGAACTGCTGCAGGGTCTTTGAGTGTAAAGCTCAGTTCCTCATCCCACACAGGATTCAAGCAGTTGTTTATCACTTTGGTCCTGGCTGACTGGTTTCTCAAGTCAGTAAGAAAAACATCACATTAACGCTATCCTCAAAACCGTTTAACCACAACATAAAAGGAAAAACAAAGAGTGTTTGTAACTCATCAGGACATTGAGGACTGATTCTTCTGGTTATTACCTCAGTTCCCAGTTTGACAATCACGTAAGGATCACTTGACTTGAAGTCTCGGATCACCAGTTTCTTTCCTCGAATAACAGTCACCTGGAGTAGTCCTAGTGGCTCGCCCATCTTAGATCTTACAAACACAACAAGCTACCAACGTTAGGAGAAAGCAGTCATCTAAGCAACTTCACACACTTCTCATGAATAACAGAGAGATAAAGCAACTGTTTTTTTATTAGACATTCAATTGAATATGACACCAACCACAACACAGAGAGAGAAATAATCAAAATAAAAAAAAAAGAGAGAGAGAAATAATCACGGGAACACCAAATCTCGAAGTAAAACCACTAGGTTGTTCTGCTTCTTGATACACAAAAAAAAAAAAAAAAACTAAAAATAGGAAGATTCAGACTTGATTTTGAAAAAAATAGCGGAAACCAAGCAACATAGAGAGATCAAATGCAGCTAATCTACAGACACATCTATTTAGTGAGTATGCAAAAAAGGAATATACCTCAAAGGCTAATCAGAGCTTGAGCGTCTACACAGAACAAGTCTGCAGAAAACGGATAGCTTTTCTTTTAAAGAAAGGCTCAAAGGACTGAAACAGAAACTGGAGTCTACTACCAAGTACCAAGGACACAGGTTTTTGAGTTTACGAAATAAAAGTTACCAGTTTAGTAATTAAAATGCGAAAAAGGGTTCCTTCCTCTTCTTCTTGCTTGGTACATGAGATATAAAAGGAACTGAGAGAGGAGGTAGGATGCAAATTATTTCAGTATCATTTTCTTTTTAAAGTGAAAGACAAATGTGGTCATAAAGATAATTAGATTCGACGATCTCGAGACACGAGGTTGCAAAAGAATGTTTGACCAAAAAGTGTTAAAAAGCTCTGGTTTTTGGAGAACGTAGCTGCAACGGTAAATCAATTAATTAATATTACTGGCGAAGATTAGGTGAAACCTAATCCTTATCTGCTTGAAATTAGAGTTGGTACGACACGCTTTGACAAGGTCTATTATTATGTTAATAATAAAGCTTTAATACCCACATTTTAATTTGAGTCCATAGAATGTTTTTTAAATTCTTCTGCTTCTTTTTTTTTTTGAACAAAAATTCTTCTGCTTCTTTCCTTTTACTCTCGAATATTCTTAAGGGATCTTTATTCTTAAATCAAAAGCAAAACACATGTTATTGTGGAATTCAAATATTATTAGTTTGGGAACGCGACATTTAGAAGACGAATGATAACAAATGAATGGCCATGGATGTTCTCCAAGAAAACAAAATAATAGCAAGAGATTCTTCATCCCTAAACGAGAGGCAATAATATGACTTTAGCTGAGTGCCTAAAATCAGGAGAAGGAATAGATACAAATCATCCAATTGTCATAACTTTCCTCAACTAGTAAATGTTAAAGTCATCCAATTGTCATAACTTTCCTCAAGTAGTATAAATATATAACCCACTATATATATAATTGTATTTAGAAAAGTCACTGACAAATCACATGCGAAATGTAGAACAACAGAGCGTAGCCCGTACTTCTCTTACTTACGTTTGATTTCAGTTAATTATGATGGGGTTACCAAACTTCCTCTTTGTTCTCCTTGCCTTCCTCAGAAGTTTCTCTGTTTCCTTCTCTGCGTCCCAATCAAACTTAGCTCCTGAAAGTAATACACAGCTCTCTAGTTGACAAAAAGTATACTATATATCTATGATCATCTAACTTCTTTCTATCTACCACAACACTGTAATTTTACCATAAGAACCCACAGATTTTCATACCTTTGGCGTCCCCGTTCAGCATACATGAAAAGCCTCCATCTATATCGTCATCTGAATCTATGACAATACTACCCTGTTCAAACTACATAAGAATTGAAATTTGCATTTTGGTCAGATTTTGAGGAAGTTCACAACATGTGTTCTTATTCATTACAGCTGACCAATGAGAAAATCCGACGCAATCACCTGTGTACGAGTGTCTTCTGGTTTTACTTGCTTTCTTGCTGCGCTCTTCTTGAATGCGCTTTGTTCTGGTTTCACCGTCTTCCAGCCTCCCACTTGTATCTTTGGGGATGAAGATGTCTTTACAGTTCTGGATGATGCAAGCTGTGGTTGTTTCCTTTTCAGTGTAACATTAGAAACGGCATTTCTCTGCAGCTCATATTGTACATATGTTAGTAACAGCTGAGCTTGTAAACAAAGGAGAATTTTGAAGAGAGATGTGTTAACTACCTTGGCTTCTGCTCCACGCTGCTCAGGAAAGTTTTTTTCCTTTGACTGTTGTTGAACAAAAGCCATATTAACAGCTGAGCTTGTAAACAAAATAGAATTCTCAAGAGAGATGTGTTAGCTACCTTGGCTTCTGCTCCACGTTGCTCAGGAAAGTTTTCCTTTGACTGTTGTTGAACAAAAGCCATATCAATTACTGAAATATTTGTCTTAAAAAAGCAACGAGATGATAAGCGGGAGAAGAAAACCTTCACTTGTGATGACGCTCTTGGAAGACGATCTATTGGCTGAGGCTTCTTCAAGCTAGTCAAAACCTATAATAGATATGGTAGTGTGCATATCAAAGCATTACATATCCTTCGATTCTCACGCGTCTGGAATTTATAGTTACCTTGGCTGCTGGACCCTGATGTTCAGACAGGTTTTCCTTAGCCTGAAGTTTAACGAAAGTTACCGTAACTACTGAAGTTATTAACTTAAAAAGGAAAGATATGGAAAGCCAAAAACCTTCACTTGTAGTGCTGCTGGAGCCTGAGCTACTACCTCAGCCATCTCCAAGCTATCCAAAGCCTATAAGAGATTTGGTTATGATAATTAAAGCATTATGTGTCCTCGCAAATATACACAACGACAAAATATCAATATGATAAGACTCCGGCTCCGCTGAGATAGACCAAATACTCCAAAGTTGAAACATTGCTTTATAATTCTCATGTCGAACCTGCAACTCTCTGGTGAACGTGTGGCACATTTCCCTTTGCACTTTCTGCAGAGCGGATTCTACTTGTTCCGGGATAGCTGTTAGCATCAGACTTATATTTTGTAGCTTCTCTTCATTGGGATTTTTTCTTAGTTCCTCCAATATCGATTTAACACCTCCATCAAGAGTAGCTTTAAAATTTGCTTGTTCCTTTATCTGCTTCGAAGTTATTCAATTAAATAAGCATAAATTATTAGTATAAGGTCACTAAAGCAACAGAAAAAACTGCAAATATTTGGTTCTACCAGCTGCTGAAGTGAAGTGTCTCGGAGAGTCAACTTTTGCTGTATGCGTTCAGCTGTAGTAAAGACATGAAAGTAGAAAGTTAGCTAAGTATCAATTGAAACCTTCGCATCAAGTATGTAGGGACTAGGAGTCGTTCCTAAAAAGAATGCTCTTCAACAGATGATAAACTATTGGAGTAAACAATCTCAATAAGTGAATTACTCTTGACAATATCACGTTTCTAAACAAGATTAGCATTAAAGAGCACTGGTTAGAGAAATCGTATGGTAAGGTTATACACTTTCCCAACCCCCTTATCTGTTTCTATCCAATCGGTTGGCACATACTTTGAGAACAGAGAGAATCTGACATTTTCAAATATTCGTGTTACTTGAAAAAGGAACAGACAATCGCAGAACTCACTTTCAAGAAATACTTCTTTAGTTCCTCTGTTGACTTGGATGATGTCACTCTGAATTGAATCCAACATCATCCCAAACTTGCTCAATGAAGTTTCCATCATCCCAAACCGATGCTCAAATTCTTCAGTGAGTTGAGCTATTCAATCACGAAAGGCAGAAAAGACGAATCATATTACGGGTCACCCATTGACAAGAATGGAATATATTTTAAGTAGTCAAAGCAACTTTCTGATTTGGAAAAGAGCAAACTTACATTTAGACTCTCCGACTGAATCAGAACTCCATCTTCTCTGAAGACCGCTAGAAGATCTATACGCAACTATCTGACTATCATCTCGCCTTTGACTAATCGGGGGCAAGCAGCTAACCTTCTTCAAAGATTGATCTCGTTCTTGGGAATTAAATCTCTGTGCAGAAAGGAAAAAACAACACAAGCATGTAATCAAGACGAACTGTTCTTATTCAAAAGAAGAAACGGACTACAATATTAAAAAAAAAAAAAGAAAATTCCCCTGACGTTAGTTGCTAACCTGATCGCTTGTGAGGAGTTCATCGACTGAACCCTGAGTCCTCTGAGAAAAACAACTACGCTGAGAGTAAGACGAAGGTCCCTGGGAGAAGGACTGTTGAGACTGCTGTGATCGAAGCTGCTGCGACTGCTGTGATCGCGATGCCTGTGGTTCAGACGGTCCGATACTCGTTCTCCTGCTAAACAGAGAATCAACACAGAACGATAAACGCGAATCGAAGTAGCACAATCATTAGCCAACACGCAAAAACAATAGAGAAATTCAATTATCCTCGCCGGAAACCTAACGGATTCTCATGGAAAGCTATAAATTAGTTCGTAATATACTTAGATCGAAGAAGAAACTCCACAAACGGATCATCGAAACTCGTCTCTAACATTAATTTAAGCAAATCCGTTCCGGAAAATGAGGCGGACGCATCTAGATAAACCCTGGGCAGTGTGAATCGCTGTGTAATCTCTTCAAATCAAGATCTCTAACTGTTCCGTGATTGATACTCTCGTGAACGAGATGACGAGTAGAAGCGGGATCGTACCTTAAAGTAGGAGGAAACACGGAGATTGATTTCAGATCGCATGCTTTGTTGATATTCATCTTCATCGGTAGGATCTAAAATCGTAGAGACGAAGACGAGAAGCTGTTCTTCAAGTACTCGCCAACGATCAAGCGGTAATTGAGAGGGGAGAGAGAACTCTAACTGTATTTTGAATTTTGAAAAGATCGAGAGAGTATAGAGTGTGTAGGCGGAAACCGGGAAAAAATATCTTTTTTTCAGGAGATGATCTTTATGCGTTGATAAAGCCCAAGTAAATATATGGCCCGTGGGCCTTTTTAATCTACTTTTAAATACTTCCAAAGAATGGCGAGAGGAGGTACAGCTCTGGTCAGTAAGTGTTTAAATTAGCTGCTACAGCTTGTAGAAACCAAAAATTGTTGTAGAAGCGTAAAGTGAAAAAGCATAATGACCAACAATAATTTGCATACTTACCACACAAGAAAGAAGGGTAGACCAAGAGGAAAGTGGCAAAGTAATTGAGTTCAGAAGAGGAGATGACTCTGGTTTTAAGGGAATGAAAACTGTCAAACTATTACAGAAGAAAACGTAAAAGAACCCCCTACAAACTATAACACACAGAGAGACTACAATACATAAGGAAATAAGTATCTGGAAGAGATTCTATGAATCTCACATCTTTTAAACACATGATAATACACACCAATACTAGTTCAGGCCAAACACGGCAATTTCGTTGGTGTATTTATTCTACATTATGGCATCACCCTATGCGGATTTTATCGAGCTTGACTTGGCCACTTTACTTTTCCACGCTCCCTGCAATTCCCATTCAAACACACACATATCAGAACCCGGAAACTCTCTACTCATCTCTCTGTTAAAGCTAGTCGTAAGTTTTTAAGAGAAAGGGTAGAAAGATGGATACCAGAGTCTCATTGTCAGAAGCCTCATCATCCTCGGCATCTTCTTCAGCTTCTGTCTCCTCTTGTTTCTCCTCAGAATCTGATTTGTCAACAGCAGTTTCTTTCTCCTCAGAGTCCCCACTCGACTCTGCGTTTGCCTCCTGTAACTCAGCTTTCTCATCATCATCGGAATCTTCTTTCCGTGACTTTCCTTCTGATTCTGATTTCTCTTCGTCAGCCTGCTCACCATACTTCGGGTCCTCTGCCATCTGCTCTGTGGATGATTCCATTTTCTCTTCACTTGTTTTTTCAGCAACTTCACGGACTGCATTATTTCAAAATATAATAACTTAGAAACAGAAAGACATTACACTGTGTAATAAGGTTATAACACTTTTTATGAAAGTACATAAGTTGAAAGGATTTAAGTGGGGAGAAGCTAACAAACTTGGGCATGTGAATGGAAGAAGCAATTCAATGGAGCTTACCTCCAGAAGATCGATTTTTCTTGGTTCTCAACTTAGGTTTCTCATCTTCTAATGAGAGACTACTTGGTGTACCTTCCGGCTGCTTATGTTTTATGTTCTTCTTTGGAGTTCTTTTTCCTTTTGGCCTAGATAAGACAGCAGTGAGGAAAAAATAACAAAAGGTTTAATACGAATGCAGAAGATACGTAAAAACATGCAAAAAAATAAACGAATGATTTAGACTTCTAATGACACAATTTCACTTACGTAGTAGGAATTGGGTCTTCATCCCTCTGTAATCCATATCTATTCTTACGCTTACTCTCAGAAGATCTAAAACCAAGAAAGTATTAGAAGAAGAGAACAAGATTGTTGTGTCATAGAAGACTAAACAACACAACGAGACAAAACTACAGAGAGCCTTAAGTTGCAGAGTGTAAAAGTCTTTACCCTTTTTTATTAGAACTTCTCTTTGATGCACTGGACTTCTGCAGAAGGTAGAAATAGTGAAAGGATATTTATTAAGCTAACAGCAACGGCGGATGTATAGAAATAGTAAAGATGAATTGACAAATGACAACAGAACCTTAGCGGGCTTTCCAGCCGTCTCTATGAGCTCCCATTGTTCTCTATCTAGACGAAGTACCTCGACATCTCCATCTTCATAAAGTATCTGCGATATCACAATGACAGAGTTGGATAGACCAACGAACCCAAGAAAAAGACAAGAATCAAAGTGCTGAAGGCTTACCACATGTTTCTTTTTCGTGGAATCATATGATTTCACCGTGCCTTCATAAAACCTATTCATTACACCAAGATGTAACTTCTGATAAAAAAAATTCATACAAATAATACCCCACTTTGCTGTAAATGAATGACTACATTAGCTGAGTTTAGAGTAACAAAATGTGATTAAGATTGTGGAAATAAGCTACTTCCTTTAGAGTGTGCATTTGCATGGGTGTCTGAGTGAATATGCGACAAAAACTCGTATACCATTTGCATGGGTGTCTTCACTATCATTCCAAGGAGAAGTACTAAAAATGCTTACCGTTTATCCATAGGCCACCAAACTTCTATTCTGCAACCGATGAGTTCATCAGTAACCATTTTCTTTTCCGTTGTGGAGCACTGAACAAGAACCAAGCCAAACTATGAATATTTGTTATCATTTATCACAATTCAAACTAAAAAAACTGACAATAATAAACAACAATGGCAGGTAAACCCCCGCACCTTAGTCGGTCCTGCGATGCTTTTTCTTTTCCGCTTCATTGATCCAGAGGCAGACTTCAATTTGTCACCGTTTTCTGCTGACTTACTCTGCTTTCATTTAAAAGAAAATGTTCAGTATCAAAAAATTATACTAGATTACAGATAAATAAGTGGTGATCTTTACCCTCTTATTGCGGTTGTCATCTTCGCTTTGATTTTCCGGATCAGTAAGACCCCAGTCAGATTCTGAGTTCTTTAATTTTGCTGAGAAGTTGTTCTTTCTCTTTCGGGAAGATCTGCTTTTCCCCCTGTCCGAGTCCGAGGAGATATTTGCGTCCATGTCTCTCTCTTCTTTAGAAGCTTTCTGTGGACCACTACTTGAGAACTTGAAAGGACTATGTCCAGAAGATGATCTCCGGCGTTTAGGAACTGAAATTATTGATGTTGCATTACCAGCACTCCTTTTGTTAGCCTTCTGATCACTTTGAGATGTGTCTGCTCTCTCGACAGGGGAATGTGCGTGTCCATTACTGGATTCAAATTTATCCCGCATCAAGTGATCCAGATTTATCTCCCTCACCATTTTCAAAACATCGACATCCTTTTTACCATTCTCATCATCCTCAGTCGGTACAGATTTATCCTTTTTACCCTTTCTGCTCTGGGCTCTCAAACGCTCTACAATTTTACCAAGAGGAAGTTCATTCCCATCACTATCTTCATTATCCATATCCTCATTCTCTGACGTTTGGGGTATCTCCTGAAACATGGACAGACATAAATCAATACAAAAATCGCTAGGCACTGCAACCCAGATTTTAAAATTGAATAACATACAGATAAATCAGCATGACTCTCCAACACAAGAGAACTGAAGTGTGCCAAGACGGTTTCATCAGCTAGCCACAATTGCTCTTCACCAACCTGTAGAAACAAAATGCAATGGTTAGCAAACACAAACTAGTACAAAGTATGAGGTTAGACAGACTAAATATATAAGAAAAGAAACTAGACAGTTCAGATCGCCACAGATTACTTGAAGCAACCTCATCATGAAATTAAAAGTCCGAACCACGGAGAAGTTCATGGTTGTTACCTGAGACTTGTCACCTTCATTTTTTTCAGAAGGTTTGTACAGCGTTGGAGGCAGTGATACTGGCGTGAATTCCCCTTGTAGATCGAGCTCTTTCTGACTTGAGTGTTTAATTATTGACAGCCCAAGCTCGCAGATAGCATGTGAGTTCTGTTAATATAATTTATGAGAATGTCAGGTCCATGGCACCATGACAGGGGCAAATTATTGAAAATAGTATTACTAACCTTTGACTTTGTTGCATCAGTGACGTCTTCCGACTGTTTTATACTACGGAAGATAGAGATAATGGTGAGAACGCACTCATGTTCCTTCTCACTATCTTCAGCCTTCCCATCTTCCTCTTTATGGAGTAACATTGAAATGATCAAGTGTAATTGTCTGAAATACGCGATCAGAAATAGAAGTATCAAACATTAGCGAAAAAAACTACTTAAATCGCTAATGTCACAGTATAGGTAAATCAATTTTTACCGATATATCAGTTCATATTTCTCCACATCCTTGCATTTCTCAACGTCGGGACAAGAAAGATGTGCAAGTGCGTGAACCAGATAAGGAAGGATATGTTGAGGGTAAGGAGAAACTGAATTTGCATCAGTCTGCGTAGAGACTTTCCTCCCTTTTGTTTGGTAAGAATGTTGGATTATATCAGCAAGGTTCTGTTTTTCCTGTTATGCCAATCCAAACGCATAGTTTAGTTAGTCAGATCAGCAACATTCTCAACTCATAAACATCGTGTATGAGTTTTTAAGTAAAGGGAGATAGCATACCTCCTCTGATACAAGAACATTTGATTCAGTGATATCAAATAAGAATGAACAGGCATACTTTGTCTCCAAAACCCGGTCCTTTATATACTGATGAACTTTCCCTAGAAATATTTTCTTAGCCATAGGAAATGATATCTACATGAGAGGTTAAAAAAAAGTTGTTAAAACAGAACCTAGATCAGATATGGGATTTGTTTGAAAGGTGCAAATCGTAAAAAACAAATTGAAGTAAAGTACCTCAGGGGTTCTTAGAGTTAAGTGGAAGATATCAACTGGGATCTTATCGTCCCAGTGCCTAGAAAGACGAAGGACTGCCTTTGCAGCAGCAAGTTTCAGATGGGCCTTGTCGACAGAACTGTAAAGATGTTGAGTATGAGCGTCTTCAATTTTTGTTCCAGAAAATAACATCTTAGCATGTTTAGCACTAATGTTTACCAACCTTGATTCTACATCTTCAGATACTTCCCCAAAGGAAAGAATGTTTTTAAGTAATTCAAGAAGGTCATCAACACCGGTACGTAGATGAGCATCTTTGAAAGGCAAGTAACTCTTAACCAACGTCTTAATCCCATAAATCTATATTAAGAAAACCAAAAGAAGAAGATTAAACGGACAAGAGAAAAAGACTCTATTAATCTTGACACAATGCCATATGATACTATAATTTAAAAAGCGGTTGTAAGAAAACTTTCGTCAGATACCAACCTTAAGTTGACAAATCTCAC